AGTGACAAATTTCTCACTGCAGGCTGATGCTGCTGTCTAGGGTAGACATTAGGATGACCATTGAATGCCCATGTGGTTAAGCCCATTTGTCTGTCTGGCCCTGGAGGTCAACAGAGGACAGAGGAAATCATGTTCCTGAACAGTGGGTAGTAGGATCATGGAGACAGGATAGGGATTGTTCAAAGTCAAGGGGTGATACCAGGCTATGTACCATTGGGTAGACAGTGTCCATTGTGATACCAGGGGAAGGCAGGGACGGAGAACCTTTTTAGAGGACACCCATGTACAGGATTGGATAGGCTATTCCAGTGAGTGGGTTGTGGCTGTATATATACCAAAGTTTATGATGTCTGCTTCCTGAACAGGGATGTAGGGCTGCCATCTGCTAACAGGGAAGTGTTTTGAGAACACTCACCAGGTATTGGTTTCATCCTCCATGAAATGAGCTGTTACCCCATGAAAGAATGTCTTCCAAATTAGCAGAGTCCCTTGATTGTTGACTGTCTTAATCACTGATTCCTCTGCTGTGAAGAGACGCCATGATCCAAGGCAACTATTATAAAATAAAGCACTTAAATGGGGACTTGCTTACAGTTTCAGACTTTATGAGTTGCCCTGTCTGTGTTCTTTGCTAGTTTACCCATTATATCCAGTTATCATGGTGGGGAGCATAGTAGTATGCAGTCAGGTGCTCTGAGTTACTGAGAGCTGTGTCCTGGTCTGTAGGCAGAGAGAAAGAGAGACTCTGAGCTTGACATGGGTTTTTGGAACTTCATAGCCCACCCCCACCCCATGATACACTTCCTCCAACAAGGCCACACCCCCTAATTCTTTCAAATAGTTTCACTCCCTGGTGACTAAGCATTCAAATATATGAGCTCATGGAGGCCATTCTTATTCAAACCACCACATTTATTTTATTTAGTGGATTCCAGAATGATTAGATGTCCCAGGTCATGCTGGGTACCCAGTGAGGTGGAGAAACAGCTACCGGATGCTATTTCATCCTCCTTTCCTTATATCTGTTGATGCACAGTTCAGGTTGGTGGGTGAGGTTCCTCTAAAGAAAGAAAGGATGGGCATCCTGGGTAGTTGGGTGCAAGTTGCCAGAACCAGGCCACCTCAGCAGGCCTTTAATCTAGAGTGCAGGAAAAGCTGAACAAGCAGAGCCACCCTGGCTCACTTCCTTTCTTACTTCAATGGACTGACTTGTGATCCCTAAGAAGAAAGAAATGAGGTCTTAACCTTAGAACCTTGAGTCAGACTTGGGTTGAAAGTAGAATCATTACAAGTGTGATGTATATCAAGGTATTATAAAGTCACATGAGAATAGTGTATGTATTTAAGTGGAGATGCCAGCAGCCCTTAAAACCAAGACAAGACCTTTTCCGACCCCTGGACTTCAGATTTCTGCCTCTATGGCATGAAACAGACTCTATGAGTTGCCCAGTCTGTGTTCTTTGCTAGTTTCCCCATTATATCCACTTTAGATAACTGTAAACTTAACAGTTGAGACTCCTCTTGTAGATAGCCAATATTGGGATTCTGCTTTGATATGCAATTTTTTAAATAGTATCTTTAAATTAAAATAAAAATGTGTTGCGGGACCTCTAGACCTAATGTTTAACAGGCTCCACCACACATCTCTGCCTTGTACTGTCTTGTCTCAACCCACAGAGACCCTCCTTGGCCACCAGGCTTGGTGCCCTTTCTCACCATTCCTTCCCACTCACCCACTTTGATGTCTCTAGCACCTCAGCCACCGCCTCAGCCATGATAGGTGCTGTTTCCACCACCCACTGCCCATTCGGCCACAGGAAGTTGTTCCGTTGGAAGCTCCACCTCAGTCCCCCTTCTTCCTCTGCAAACCCTGCCCCTCAGAAAGCCCACCAAGCAGGGTATTTAAACTCAGTCCATAGAACTGCCATGGGATTTCTCCTCCTCCCTCCCCCACCTCACTTCTGGGGGGCTTGAGAGTCACCAGAGAGTGCTTTGCTCATTAAACCTAGACTTTTAATTCAGCTTGATCTGGCTTATTGTGTTGGCAGAGAAACCTACTACTGGGGATTCAAAATATCAGAAGTCTCTGATCTATTTTATATCTGCAAGATGCTAAATTGGGGGCTTTCCATAGATGTGTTCAACAGCTTCCCACCCCTAATAGGGTGGCCTCAGAAACACCATCTGTTGATCTTAATTTTTAATGCATAACAAACTGTTCCTAAATTATCCTGGATATTATTTTCATTTATAAACAAAGTTTGCACCCAGAATGCCTTGAAATGTTTTTTTAATAGACTTAGACAAGCAGTCACTGCAGTTCTGCTGATGGACTTCCTGTACAGATGCTGCCCAGTGCACAGGAGGGGCATCTTAAGGCACATTATTCTGTGATCAGAATTAAACAAAGTTAAACGATGGTTATGTTCACAACATTAATACACATTTTTAACCACTCAAAATATATTTCTAGTTTTGATGAAATTCTTTAAATTTCCTTTCACAAAAAGATCAGTAATACATAGTATATTGAACACTGTAATAAAATTATTTTCAAGAAAATACAGATGTGGAAATACAAATTTCCTAAATTTGTATACTTTGCAGTACCACAAAGTAGGTGAAAGTTCAGTATTAAATAAATAGATATTCTCTCCTAATAAAAAACTTTTACAACAGTTTTCCTAAGGAAATACATTCATAGGATTTTACATTCTATTGTACAACAATGACAGGAACAGGGGGGTCCTCAACTATGAAATGGAGCCACTGTGTCATCTAAGCACAGGAAACAGGTTTTTGTGAATGAGGCTTTCTTGTCAAAACTGATTCCATGTGGCTATGCCCAGGTGTGGTTCACAAGCTCAAAGGACATGGCCTGAGCACAGCTCAAACACAGGGACAGAGTGTCCAAAGATTCATCACCTGGCTGCTAGCTTTGGTATCTGTGGGTATCTGTTGCAAGGTGACAGCCGCTGAGGTACTGTCTAGTCAGACCTGGCTTCTAATTCTGCAGTAGGAATTAGACCCCAGGTCCAACAGATCAGGTGGTGTGTTAAGGCAGTGTCCTGGCACAGACAGGCATGAGGAACTTGTCTTCAAAGCAGGGGCTGGCAGGTGCCCCTCAGAACACCCCTGGTACAGTAGCCAGGCACAGCCTACCTAGGAGGTACTCAAGTGGCAGCTCCAGAGCAGTCTGGTGGAATTACTGGCCACAGCATTCATTTTACAGTGGCTGGACTTCATTTCAGAAGTAGTCAAAACGCTGCAAGGGAGAGGGCTGTGGAAATCAGATGCTGAGCATCTAATGGCTGAGTCTGAGCTAGCCAGTCAACAGTGTACTGACAGGTTCAGTTAGGGAACAACACTCTGAAGCAGAATGCAGTATGTTGAGCAAACTTGCTTTGTTTTCATTCACTTCTCAATTTGTGAACAGGAAATTGTCCACTCTTCCTAGCCATGATTCAACTGCAGCATTAATACAAATTGACGGACCTTCCTGTGACTCCTGTGAACGGAACTGTCAGCCTTGTTCCTGAGACACAGTATTTAGTTTCCTGAGCAGAAAGCTGCGTGGTTTGTTTCAGAAGTCTCCAGGAAGTCCCTAAGTCCACCTTTAGCCTCATCTCAGTCTCCCTCAAGTGAGATCCTGTGGTGCAGGCCAAGTGACCTGGAAGCAAAACTCAGGTGACTCTTCAAGATTGGACTTCTGAGGAAAGGTAATGAGGGATGAGGGCCCGCCCTCTTACCACTCCACAGGGACAGTGCTCTAAGACTGAGGCCCTGAAGTCCTGGAGGCAGGGGGAAAATGCCCAGACAATGGGTTCCTGTATGCCCCCTCCTGGGTGATGTAGAGCCCTTCTATGTCCCCAGCTCTCCCCTGCCATCAGTAGATGAAGCCAGAGAGCTAGCTATAGTTCTGACCAAAGTTTCTTGTGGACACCCTGTAGTCCTCTAGCTCAGGCAGCCGGGCCATCTGCAGTGTTCCCAACTTAGGGACAGCTCAGGCGAGAAACCTTGTTTGTGCGGGCAAGGCTCAGGGTGGGAGGGGCTGAACAGATATTTCTGCAGTTGATCCTACAAGCCACAAGGTGGTGGGGCAGTCTGGAGAACTAATTTGGAAGGAGTCAGAGAGGGGGGCCTCGGGAGCATGTATCTCTGGGGATGCACAAGAACCTGCTGTCCATTTAGTGTGCGGCTGATCTGGGCGGTGCAACTTCCACAAGTCTTAATTTTTAGACCTTTGTACCAGCAGTGATAAGAGGTCCGCCACAGGCCTCTCAGGGGTCTTCCTGCAAACACTAACAAGTACGCGCCTGGGCCGTGTGTGTGTGTGTGTGTGTGTGTGTGTGTGTGTGTGTGTGTGTGTGTGTGTGTGTGTGTGTGTGTGTGTGTGTGTGTGGAGTTGGGGCAACACTAACAAGTACGCGCCTGGGCCGTGTGTGTGTGTGTGTGTGTGTGTGTGTGTGTGGAGTTGGGGGCACAGCACCTGGGCCGTGTGTGTGTGTGTGTGTGTGTGTGTGTGTGTGTGTGTGTGTGTGTGTATGTGTGTGTGGAGTTGGGGGCACAGCACCTCGGAGCAGTAGGGACTGAACCAGGGCAAGAAAACGGCGGAGGCAGTGTGGTATCCTAGGGATGCCCGGTGGATGAAAAGTTCTTCCTAGGTCATAAGACTCCCAGAGAGCAGTGGACCTTAAGAAACCTTAGCTGGTTGAGGGAGGGACCACTAAGGAGACCCTCGGAGCTGGCCGCCGGCCAAGCAACGATCACAACGGCGTCTCTTCTTGCTCCAGAGCGTGTGGCGGCAGTTCTGTAGAGCCCGGAAGAGAAGCGAGCTTAAGCAGGGCAGGGCGGCGGCGTGGGCGAGGCCTCTGGAAGGAGCGCCGACTGTGTACACGGCGCGCAGCCGCAGACCGAGCATGCGCGCTGGGCAGGGCCCGCTGTTCTGGACCCGTCCCGGGTTCACCAGAGGCAAAATTGGCAGGCGAGATGCGCTCAGGTGGGGCGGGGCTCGGGGCACGTGGGCTAGCCAGCCGTAAGGGGAGCACGAGCTGCTGGGCCGCAGCGGATGGCCAACGTGGGGACAAGCTTCCGGTAAGCGGCGTATCCGAGCCCGTGTCACCTGCGGGAAGACAGGGTGTGAGTAGCTCCCAGTCCAGAGGAACACTGACCTACGGAAACCTGTACTCAGCCCAGGATTCCCTTCCGCCTGATTTTGCTGTTCCCCTGTGGCATGCCCAAAACTAGGTGCCGGCTCAAGTGCGAGGAGGGACCCCTGACCTTCCACACCATATGGGGCATTTTCTGTTGTACACTACTGTAGAGCTGCAGGAAGTTCTAGCCAGTGTCAATGAACCTTCCTAGGCAGCTGTGCACCTGTGCACCATGCAGCCAGCAGATCTGGATTACTCCCGATTTTCTGACACTTTCAAACCCTGCCCTTGATAGCAATCCCCTCTATAGGGGCATCAGTGTCATACCCACCCCCTGGGTACTACTGCTCTACCCCAGAAACCTATCACAAGCTTCTAGGCACACAAGGCTCTGCTTCAAAACAGTAGGGTTTAAGAATGATGAAAAAAGCTAGGCCTTTAATCCCAGCACTCAGGAGGCAGAGGCAGGCAGATTTCTGAGTTCCAGACCTGCCTGGTCTACAAAGCTAGTTACAGGACAGCCAAGGCTACACAGGGAAACCCTGTCTCAAAAGGGGGGTGGAGGGTGCTCAGAGACAGAAACAAGGAGCAGGTGGAAGAGCACTGGAGCCATGCAGGTTTCCTGTCCCTGCTACATCATTTCAAAATTGGATTTTCTTAGGAAAGAGCCACTGTTTATATATACACCCATGTAAAGTGCTATCAGGCCTGGCCAGCAGGGCTGGCCAGAATTTCCAATTGTGAAGGAGTGTGCTTCATTTCATTTCCCACTAGACTAATAAAAAGCTTCTACAAATGTCTACCAGACGGAAAAAAAAATTTTCATTTTCATCTGAAATGAGCATGAGACCTGACCACAGGATACTTCTGTTGCCCAGGCTGGCCTCAAACCCTTAGTCCTCCTACCTATCCCTTGTAAATGCTGGGGTTACAGGCATACACCACCATGCCAGGCTTCAAATGTATCTGGCTGCTGCACATTAGCTAGAGAAGCAGACTCAAATGGGAATCCTCCATCAGTCTCCTAAGAAACACACAGCAGGACAGAGGACTAAGACAGAGTCTACAGAGTGAAGAAAGCTGCTGGAGTCTGAAGAAGTGCAGGTCCAGGAGAGAGGCCTGGAGGCAGTAGCTGGGAAGAGAGCAGCGTTAGAGGAAGAAGCCAGTTACATGTGTGTGGACTCAGGGGAAGTGGGTTGGAGCTGTTCCTCGGCGCCATCGGCCAGCAGGAAGGAATCCACTGATTTGTTGCTGAGGCGGAATGGCGTCAGACGGCGGAAGTTGCTGGGAGAGTTGGGAATCTGGACACGGGCCCTCTGGGAGGGCACCACGGTCTCCCCAGGGGACAGCCAAGGTGGCACCCTGGATAGGATGCTTGGATCCAAGTCCTCGTCAGGGGAGAACACAGGATTATCAATTCCTAAGAGAAAGGGCAGGTGGTCAACCTTTGAGAACTACCCCCGGGGCAGTAGGAGACTGGGTGGATAGGCTCTGTACTGGGTGACTATGTCAACTCTTCTTGTGGCTACCACCTTCAGGGTAACCTGGATGGTCAGACTTAGTCACTTAACCCTCATCCCATACCTTTTCTCTACATTTGAGACCCATATAGTCTAGACAAGTTGGGCAACATCTTTCCTCTCAGAGCTGGCCTATTCTTCCAGATAACTTGCCATCTGCTCTGGGGAGACATCTAGGTGAGGAGGTGACACCTCCTAGACCTATAGTAAGCCTCCCAGGCCTTTGGTTTCTCCAGTGACTCACTTGGGGCAGCAGGGACATCTCTCCCACTGGCCTCTCCTATCTCACCTGCCCCAGAGTCAGAGGTTACATCCTTGGTGACATTGGCCAGAAACTCGATGCCCCCACTGGTCTCTTCATAGTTGGTGGCCTCCTCAGGCTCTGAAAGTTCCAAATCTGGATAGCAGAGGGAAAAAGTACTTTGGGTAAGGATAACTCAAGTTTTTTATGGCTGGTGGTATCCCTCCCTTAACTGCCACACACACACACACACACACACACACACACACACACACACACACACACACACACACACACACACACATACACACACAGGTGGATTTTCACAGCACCTGGCCAGCCCAGTGTCCAAGTGGCTGGGGTCAGCTGTGCAAAGGCCTGAGCCACTCCTATGGCTTCCTTTTGTGACCCCAACCATACATGGCCTTTGGGAAGGTCTGTTAGATAGGAGGGGCAAGGACCTCAAGGCCCTCAATGAAAAGGATAGAGAAAGACCACTTTTAAAGAAGATGTGTGTGTGTGTGTGTGTGTGTGTGTGTGTGTGTGTGTGTGTGTGTGTGTGTGTTGAGTGCCCATGGAGGCCAAAAGAGGTTGTTAGATTCCCTGGAGTTGGAGTCACAGGTGGCTTAAGCTGCCGTATGTGGGTGGTAGGCCCTGAACTTGGGTCCTCTGGAAGAGCAGCGACCACTCTTAACCAGTGAGCTGCCTCTCCATCTCTACGGTACAGCAACAGGAGGGTCAGAAGAGAGCACTAAGAGTGTCTGGCCTAGTTGTAACCCCCAACAAGGGATGCATGGAGGCCCATGTCAGAACCCCTGGGTACAGCCACCGGTAGAGGCTGGAGTCTCTCCTGAATGAAGCACATGCAGAGAAGCAGGTCTTACCTTTCTCCTTGATGATGAAGTTGTGTGCCAGGTTCTCCATAGGCAGCTTCCCATTAGGAATGCTGCTGTTCCTCTGTGGACAAGTATGAGCTCTTACAGATGTACCGACAACCAGACCCCTACTTGCTGGCACTTTGTCTTTTGTCCTAGACCCCAAGGGTTTCTACTCTGCTGTTCACCTGGCAGTTTGCCTGGCCAGCAGGATCACAGAGAGTTCCCTGACCCTTCCCAGTATTCAGAAACCCACCAACAACCACTGCCCCCACTGTCCCCACCATCCCTCACCCGCTTCTGTGCACGCTCCCTCTTGTACAGCTTGGCTCCCTTCTTGTTCTGGTTGATGCCTAGCTTAGCTGACTTAAAGGACTCCAGACGCTTCTTCATGGTCCTGTGAAAGATTTCCTTGTCCTGCTTTTCATCCTCGTTGGGTGTTAGCTCATGCCGACTATAGAGATGCTTGTACTGTGGGAGCAACTGGCAGTCAGTTGGGCCTATATGGCCCAGGTGGGTCACAAAGTCTCCAGCTCAACCCTGTAGACCCCTTGTCTGAGAAGGAGGCAGACATTGCTCTAGGTGTGGGCTTGGTTCCACCAGCCACAGCACACGAAAGGATGACAAAGGCTTACCTTGTGGGATAGGAGGGCTCTAGGTGGTTCATCCCCTGGTACTCACCTCCTGCCGAGGCTTATACAGGTACTGCTGCAGTGTGTGGTGGGTAACCATGTCCTCAGTGTCACGGATGCTTCTCCGCCTCTGCTCCAAGGACTGCATATCCAGGCATACAGTACTGACATTCTCCCTCCTGCATGGACCAGCATTGAACCCAGGGGAATAGCTACATAGAGGTCTCCTGCCATGCCTAGATACCTGGTAGTCCTTTCCCACACTGCTCAGATGGTCTCCCAGAATGACTGCATATCCAGGCATATAGTACTGACATTCTCCCTCCTGCATGGACCAGCATTGAACCCAGGGGAATAGCTACATAGAGGTCTCCTGCCATGCCTAGATACCTGGTAGTCCTTTCCCACACTGCTCAGATGGTCTCCCAGAATGCCTTCTAGACTTCTGTTAGGTTGAACCCCATTACCACCCATTCCCCTCCACAGCCCAACTATGAGTCCTAAGGCCCACAGCCTCTCCTAAGCACTAGAAAGTTAGAACAGCCACCATCATAAGAACTGGCCATTAGTTCCCAGGGGCAAAGGGCATGAAATGCTGGACCAGATATGGCATCTGCTGATATCCCTTCTTGCCCTTCTCCTCTCTAATATCAGTGCACCACAAACACAGTCCTGCTGACTGCTAAATAAAGGTTTGCTCCCACAGATGGGGATGCAGGCATCTTTCTGTACCTGTCTCCTACCCTGGTCCACTCACACTGTCCTGACTCAGTTGCCTTAGGACCTGCAGAAGGAGCTAGTAGGCTTAAGAGTCATGAGAGAGATGCTTTTAAGGAGTACCCTTTCCCACGGTTTATAAACTGGTCACGTACAAGAGATAGGAGACAGATGCTTCCACAGTAGATGGGCGGGGTGTGCTGAAGTCCACATTGACCATATTGTCCGTACTTGGGGAGCGAATGAAGGCCAGGGACCCACGGCGCTCTCCCTACAAGGAGGACATAGATTCATTAGTACTCAGGTATGACCCTTAGGCAGCACCTGCCACATAGAAGACAAAAAATCCTGTGACCAAGCTCAAGGGCCTGTGGGCTCTGGGAGGCAGAGATGGACCCTGTCTACTGTCAAGGGACACCTCACAGCTCAGCAAGGGCCAAGATGCAGAGTAGGAGCTAGGGTTAGGTTCATGTAGAGGTCATCAGAGCATCACTTTCGAGAAGCAGAGCCTTAGAGTTGAGCAGACAAAATAGTAGGTAGAAACAGAATCTCTTAAAGGACACTGAAAAGTCTAGGGTGTACCACCCCCACTTGAAGGTTGGGGAGAGAGAGTTTTTGTCCCCACCAGAGCCACCAACCCACAGGCCTTAGTTTGGATGCAAGTCAAAACCACACAGAACAGAGCTGGATAGGAAGCAGAATTACTGGAGGATAGAGAAGCTGAATCCGCAAAGTGAGCTGCTTCTGAGGGTCACAGACAACAGTACACTGTGGCCTCAGGTAGAGTCCCTAAGGGACAGCTTGTGCCAGGGTTAGGAGGGTGTTGGTGTGTCAGGTGTGTTCCATCCTTCACCATGTCAACACATCATTGCACTTTATAGTTTGTGAGGTTCTCCCTTGGGAGCCCTTCAAAGAGGGTGGGATTGTGTAGATATCCTGGTGATAGGACTTGGGACTTGGCTTGGACTACCTACTCCAGGGTATTTGACTTATCACTGGTATGGGCTGGGGCTTTTGGGTCTTTTTCTTCCAAATCCACTGTTCTTTGTATTCTTTTTGCCACTCATCGTCCTCAGGTGTGGACAGTCATCTCTCCCATGTCATCGATGATGCCAGGCACTCCCCACCCCAAGGGGATATCAGGAAAGAAGTCAGGTGACCCTTAGGGCAGAGGCTTAGGGCTGAAATGGTGATGGGATTCCTGGACAGATGGTCAAGGTAATGGAGACAAGAATCACAGGACTGATATAGACAAACCACCCATGTAGGACTTGGAGCCATCTCTCCCAACAGTGATGGGAATGATGGCACAAAGCTCAAGACATTCTGGCTGGTGCAGTGGGGAACAGGAGTGAGGCTCAGGGCCCTGACTAGTGTGGAGTCAGAGCTAAAGAGCCTCTCAGAGACTGAGAGAAAGTGACAAGTAAATGCTGCCAGAGACCTCAGCCCACCCTTTCATTCTTATCCTCCATCCATGTCATGGTGCCAAGGTCACCCAGGGTCATAAAAGGTTGGAATTCTTTGTAAGTTCTGACTAAGACTGGAGGCATCTTGGATTGAACACCACAATATTATTTGGGTGGCAATGGCCATGGGGTCATATGGTGCCTTGTTTGACCTATGTCTATTGATGAAGGATGCCATGGGGCCCAGATAGGAGTGGGTGGGTCATGAATGCACTTGCCACAAGATAGTCGTATGTATGTCATTGGAGGAGTTAATATGAATGTATAATGTGTGTCTGTGTTGTATCTATGTATACGCATGTGTTCCTAAGTACATATGTATGTATGTATGTATGAGTGCACATATACCCAGGTATGTGTGTGTTCATATATGTTTATGTGAGCATTCCTATAGATTTGGGTGTGTATATATCAGCCATGTGTATGCACATGTAAGGCTGCTCCTTAAGGTTGTCAGCCAGTAGGAAGTATCTACCAACTTGTTGCTGAGTACAGCATACACGTGTGAATGGGTAGAGGACCTGGGCTCATTACTGTCTATTTCCCAACCTTTTCCATTCTTTTTAGGGAAAATCCAGGCATTCACACTCCTCCAGAGCCTGGTCACCATGCTCAGTTCCACCAAAACCACAGTATATAGTCACTGTGCCTGTGCCTCTGATGCCTGAGTGACAGAGCACTCTGACATGCCCTGTTCCCAGAGTACAACTCCAAGCCTCACATGAGCCTTTGCAGTAAGCCATCCAGGCACAGAGGACAAGGGTCACTCACCACTGCCCTCTGCCCATGCCCTAGACCACAGGTATGTCTTACTTTAGCTCTCAACTGTAGCAAAGGGACAAATGTGATATTTTAGTACCTCAGCCACATAGCTAATAGCATCCTTCAAATTCAGCTCATGGAAAACGTTCAGAATCCGATCTCGAGATTTTTGAGCCGATCTTCTCATGAGGACTTTGCTGAGGAACTTCCTATCAAAATTGGACCACCTGGGGGACAAAAGATTGCATCAGCACTGGGAGTCTGGGGCTGCTTGCCCCACATGGACAAGAACAAGGTCAGAACAGACAAATGTCTGCAGAGCTAGGCCCAACATGGGGCCATTTTTTTTTTTCTCCTGGGTTTTATTTTTTGTAACAACCGGAAAGTGAGTTTTAAAGTGAAAAGTTGTCAGGCCACCTCAGGTCTTACTCTTTGCTTTCTCCTATTTGACAGAGGCTGGCAGTGGAACTAAATGCCATTTTCGAGTGACACAATGATCAGGTTTCCAAGTGGCCACCTCACCCTCCAAGTGCTATGAGGACAGGACCAAGATTAAGACAACAGCAGCTATAGTTCCAACTCCTGACACATCACTGTCTAGGGTGCATTACTCAACTTAACTCTGCAGCCTCACATGGACTCTAGGTAATTATCTCAAAACAGGTATTAACAAGTGTCAATTAACTGCTTTAGTCATATAGTTTTAAGTACCACTTTATGTTGTAGTAAAATATAAATGAGTGATTTCTATTTCATAAACAAGGTAATTTTAAGTATCAATAAACACACCTTTCCTCTGTGAATGAAATAGGGAAGTGATTTATTTTCCTGATTTTTAATATCTACATTATTTAAGTTTAGCATTAATTGGTCAGTAAAAGAGTATCTCTATGCCTGGGAAGATCATCAGGAATAAGATTCAGGTCCCTGAATTGGTGACTGCTCTGTCCTCTCAGACAGTATTAACTTTGTTTTCACTTGCCTGCACCCACTAGTCTAGTGCACACTTAAGCCCTTAACCTGGGAATGGGGACCTGAGAAGGTGTCCATACGTTGTCCTCTGTTCATTTTTCTCCCCAACATAAACACTTCAGGACCAGCCTACGACCCAGACAGTTTGTCTCTGGCTCTTTTGAATGGAGAGGTCCTCCAGAAATGGTGTTTTGTGGCTCTTGACTTGTGGCTTCCAGTGTTTTTAGTGGCCCTGTCTGTACGTCTGGGACCCAGCGTTCTATGTTTGAGGGGTCACTGGTAAAAGAAGGAATGTTACAGCTTAGGCTACTTACTTATCTCTGAGATAATTGTGTCCAATTTGTCCTGAGATGTCCTCAATGGCTGAGAGGATGTGGTCGAAAGCCTTTCAGAGGAAAGAAACCAGTTGGCCTCCATCCTCACCCCAGCCTGCCCAGGCTGTTCACGTCCACCCTCTCCTTACCCGGCCATGGAGCTTCTCGTTGAGCTTCGGCTCACGCTGCTCACTCCTCTTCACCTTTAGCCACTGCACCAGGGGCTTGATGGTCAGGCCCTGAAAGACCACCCCACTGATTCTGGTGCCAGGCAGGATCCCCGTACCCCTCCCCAGAGCCCTCTAACCCCAAACCAGACAGACATTAGATCTCTTCTCCCACTGTAGACAGCACAGGGACCTGTGTGAATCCATTGGCACTGCTCTATAAAAAGATGCCCCAAAGCCCCTGTGCTGTGGGCGTCCGTATGGACATCAGAACCTCCCTGCTGTCACTTTGACCAGCCAGATGCAAAGGTGTAGTAGGTGCCTGTTAGGGCCTGACCAATCAGCAGTCAGGAAGTAACTAGGTCTGTTCTCATAAGTCCTGGCCAGAAAGTAACACTTTTAGGACAAATTATGCTATGTCCCCTGTGGGGCCACATGAAAACCTACAAAATGCTCCTAATTACTAAAATTACAAAAACCAATTAAAGTATGGAATCTGGAAACAATCAACCTACAGGGTTGAGGTAGGGCCAGTTGCTTAGGATCAAGGCTCGGCACCCTGCAGCAATGCCCTGGGCAAACTGAGCCACACCTGAAAGATGACTGTGAAGAAGACCACGATGAGGGTGGTGCTAACAAACAGATTTTTCTCCTTGACTTTTTTCTCATCCAGAAGTACCACCAAGGCATAGGCCACGGCCCCACGCAGGCCACCATAGGACATGACCACCTGGTCAATGGTCTCTAGCTGCACCATGCGGTAACGATTCAGGATCCAGGTCTGCAGAACAACACCTGTAGCGAGAGGTCACTCAGCTCCATGGCTGCTTTCCCCAGGGTTCCCTAAAGCCTTTTGACCCTCTGTCCTTTTGACCCTTGGCTGACTGTGAAGGCCTGGGCAGTGGGTCTATCCCCAGGGGCACCACTGGCCCTCTGTAGGACAAGGCAACAGTGCTGCTCTCACCACAGCTTCTATCTCCCATTCCTTGATCCTGTGCCTTGGTACCTCATTGGTCCCCATGCTGCACCCTAAGAAATCTTGGCCTTTTACAGTGGTTGGACTTGTTACTGAGCTGCCCTGGGGCCCTCGAATCTGTTATCTAAACTAAGGGAGCCTAGACACTTCCTTGAGTGCTCCTAACCCTCACCAATGGCTCGGTATACAGAAATGAAGACCAGCGTCAGCAACACAAAAGCCGTGTTCCATGTCCAAATGAGGGGGTCCACAGCTGAGATGCCCAGGAACATGAAGATGATGGTCTCTGCTCCACTGGCCAGCATCTTCATGGTGTAGCGCACAGTGGTGGCCGACTGCTCTGAGATGTTGGCCTTCACGTACTTCTGACAGCAGATGCCGCAAAAGGTGATGCTGGAGGAGGGGCAGTGTGAGGTTTTCCTGCCGCTAGTCAGGCAGGCTGATGCCTCAGACTAGATGTTTCCAGGCCCAGATCCTGCCATCCCTACTTCCTCGGGTGGCATTATAGGCCTTTGCATCCCAGAATGTAATCTATAATGGACAGTCCTGTGTTGTGTGAACCCTGTTCTTCCTGAGATCAATGCCCTGAGCTGGGTCTACCCAGCTGCTCTCATGCTCTAAGACTAGATGCGAAGTTTCAATGAAGAAACAGCCTTCAAGCCTTGTGAGCCTATTGGTAGCTGATTGGTAACCAGGTCATATTAGCCTTTGGAGAAGCTTGGGGCCAACTTTGGGGTCAGGAGGCTTCTGCCTGAGTGTGAGGCTGCATGCCAGCAGAGGCTCTGATGGGGTTTCTGGACAGATCATTCTTGAATCACAAGCCACAGCACACACCTACCCCATCCTCTCAGTAGGCACCTGTCTAGCCAAGGACAATTCTGAGGACTTATCAACTTCTTATTTTAAAAAAATTAGAGCCGGGTGGTGGTGGCACATGCCTTTAATTCTAGCACTCAGGAGGCAGAGGCAGATCTCTGTGAGTTTAAGGCCAGCCTTAAACTACAGAGCTAGTTCCAGGACAGCCAAAGCTGTACAAAGAAACCCTGTCTCAAAAGAACAAAAAACAAAAATTAAATTGACTTCTTTGCCCCTGCCAATGACTTTTACCCAACTATGAAAGCCATGGAAGTGGAAACTACACAATGATCTTGTTCCAAGGAGGAGACAGTAGGCAGGGACCAGGCTCACTCCCACCACCCCTTCACCAGGATGATGGCAAGAAACCCAATATACCCTTTGCTCACAGTGGCACCTCCTGCCAGGGTTTGAGTGCAGGGGATCTCTGGCACACCACCAGCTAGAAAGCCACATACCCAGCCCAGCCAACAGCAGAAGGTTATTCCTTGAGGAGACTTACGCCAGGATGGCTGACAAGGACAGCATCTCGGAGGTCAGATAGGACAGGTAGGAAATGACAAAGACGAAGCCAGGCTCGATGATACGCACATGCTTGGTGAAGCGAGTCACCAAGGACAGCAGGAAGGCGAAGATAACACCCACCAGAGTCCCCCCTAGGCTCACCACGAAGAAGGACACTGTGAAAGAAAGGAATGAATGGTCCTTTGTGGCTGGTGACCTGAGTGAAGCTTACCAGGTTGGCTGGTCATTCCTCATGGAGGGCTCCTGGTAACTGCTCACAGCAATGCTGAAAGTTTAGGAAATGAGGCAACTTTGCTCTCTATGGAGAGAGTGTCTTGTCTCCAAGCTTAGTGCAGGAGGCAGAGGACAGAGGCATGGTACACAGGAGACAGGATCCCATGGTAGGGGGCATTGCCTTGACATCTCTGCAGGCTTGGGTCAGTAACAAGGTCTGAACCCTGTGTCCTTATACACTGTCCATCTGTCCTTGCCTAGGGAGACCTGGGTTGACTGTCCATATCCCTTCTCAGGAGAACACACAGGATCCCCCAGGACCTTCATCCAGTAGTGTTTATGTGGTGTTCTGGGAAAGGAACCCAGCCTGGTAAGTAACCAGAACATAGGTTAGAAACCCCAGGATAGCAGAAGCCTTAGGGATTCTATTCTGGAGAGGAAACAAGCCTCTGTACTCTCTGACCACTAGATTTGAGACAGGCCAGGCAGGAACCCTCCCAATACGTACCTATGCCTTTCACACAATCCACGCCAGTCACCTTGTCACCACCCAGCGTCACAAAAGACTCAAAAACATTGTACAAGACCTAAGGGTACAGAAGACAGGAACACATCTGGTCAGCCCTGCATCCACACTGATCCCTCCCTGTCCAATGCCCCCACTTTTCTGGATTTGGGCCCCAGAGTTGACACCTGAAATAACTAAAAACACTTGTAAAGCCAGCACAAAGTGACAATGTTCAACAAGAAAGGATCAGAGGATCCAGCAAATGGGATGTGCAGACAGATGAGTGTCCCAGATCCAAGGAAACAGGCCCAATCTCTGACTCTTGTTCTATGCTCTTGCAGATGTGTTCAAGGAACATTGAGGCAGATGTGCAGACTGTTTAAGCACAACCGTGATGGGCACTGAGTCTCAGCAAGCCCTCTGTGGAGCTGTGCTTGTTTATAAGGATGAAGGTAGGCAAGGCATGAACCATGAGGGCAGGAGTAACTCTTGGTCCACAGGAGGCATTGAGGCCACTGTGGCTCAGGAATGCTGAGAGCTATTTTCTGAGTTTCAGACTAGGTCTCAAATAGGCCATCAGAGCCTCCTGTACACACAGAAGTCTGATACAATGCACCCTGAAGTTCTCCTACACTCCAAGGGAGCATAAGACATGGGGAATTTCTTAGGAACTACAGGCAATTTCAGAGGGCAGAAGAAACCAAACACACTTCCTCAGGTGTCAGCTAAGTGCTTGGGTCCATTCTTACCAGTTAATCCCTCATCCCCTCCCACAGACCTGTAGTCCATCGGGGGACAGGTAGGGCTGCACTGAAGCAGCAGCAGTGGTCATGTTTCATGAACATGCTTCTCGTTTCCAGCATAAACACAACCTCATCTTTGTGGAGACCTTATGCTTACTCCACTGCATGGGTCTGAGAAGCCCCAGATGCCATCAGGGGAATCTTGACTCACTGGAGGAGCTGAATGTGTTTCCTCCTAGAGTCCTGACCACAAGGCCTCAGAATGCAGCTGTTTGATAGGAAGTCTTCAAAGAGGAAGCTAAGGCTAAGGTTAAATGAGATCAATAGAGTAGATCTTGGTGTATAAGAAGAATGCAGGAGAGAGAGAGAGAGAGAGAGAGAGAGAGAGAGAGAGAGAGAGAGAGAGAATGACCATGTGAAGACACAGAGAAGATAGCATCTGTAGGCCAAGGAAAGAGGCTTCCAGAGCCAGCTGCCATGCTTGGTTCTCAGCCTCCAGCCTTCAGCATGGAGACAATAAATTCTCACTGTTTAAGCCCCAGGCTTCTCTGGTATTTTGTTATGGTGGGCCCAATAGATTAATGGAATTCCTGCAAGATTTTGTTGTTTGTTTATTCATCTGTTTCTTAGGAAATAGTGTGTAGTAGCAAGTGTGGGTCCAACGTTATAGATCTCCACTCTGGGGGAGGTGGATATGGGTATTTCAACAGGGCAGCATTACCTCTAAAGGCATGAAATGGGTGGGCCTAAGACTGTAAAAGAGAAATTGGATGGAGCTGAGTTAGGAAGCCAGAAGAAGGTCAGAGCCTGCCCCCCAACTTATACCCCAATGCTGCTGCACCAATGAGAAGGGACAGATGAAGGACACACCATGCAAGGGTCGGACATCCTAGGTTGCAAACATGAGAGACCATGTATAGCTAGTGACCCTCTTACTAGCTTATCTATCTGAGGCATATTGGTAATGCCCACTTGTCAGGGTATTCTAGAACCTCCAAGCAAGTGAAATGTTCTGAAGCTACCCCAGGGACCCTGCCATCACTCACCACAGTCACTGCATCATTCAGCAGTGACTCTCCAAAAACAATGATGAAAAGAACTTCATTGACATGGACTTCCTCAAACACAGCCAACACAGCCACTGGGTCCACAGCAGCAATGAGACTACCAAAAAGCAGGAAATCCAGTAGTCCAATCTTCAGCTCACCTGCAAGAGATGTGGACCATGGGACAAGGGCTAGCCACCTGGCTCCCTCTGTCCAAATCCCACATCTACCAGGTCCCTAGGAGATCGGAGGCATCAGGAATAAAGGCTTGGCACAACTCTTCCCAGGAACACCCAGTGACAGAGAATCTCAGAGACTGGAGCTCACAGCCAGACACCTCAGAATGTGTAAAGCTACACAGTTCCCCATGTAGTACTTTTTTGAGCTTGGGCAGAACTTGCCATCCCTTGGGGCCAAGGAATGAACCTTGGGAAGTAAGTGCCCCAGGTATCCAGTATGCCCCAGAAAAGAGTAGAGGGCACAGGACAGAGTGATCTCTGTAGTGACTTGAGCCCCATATGTCTATGATTACTAAACTCTGCTGCCTTCAGCTAGGACCAGAGCCTTCTGGAGTTTCCATTTAGAAATGGACCACACACTTGACTGCCACACTATATATGCCCTGCCCAGCTTTCCAGAGCAAACTAGCTTCTGGGCCAGCCTTGAAATACCTTTGCAGGCCTGGCCTCTTGTTCTAGAATCTTGACTGAACCAGAGTACATTCCAAACATAAGCTGGATCCCACAGATATACAATCCACTGAATCAGGACTGGCCTCCCTGCCTGGACAGTGCGCCCACATTTACCTTATGCCTGGAACTAATGACCTACAAGATAGCTGGTCCAAGCTGACTCTCCCAGTAAGGGTGAGTGAGCCCCTCCTTGAGCTGCTGACTACAGAGACTGGCCACTGCCTAGGCAAACCTGGGTATTATACCATCAGCCAAAGTCACAGAGGAAAGGGAGCTCATGGGCTAAGTATGATCTTTCTGGTCAGCCTTGACTAGCTAGGTCCCAAAGGTGGAACACAGGTCAACATCCTGTGTCTATCATGGGAGTGTCTGTAGGCAGTGATGTACAACAATACTGGTTATGAAAAGACACTGTGGTATAACAATTCTTCATGGCTATGGGGTAGTAGGAAGATGGGCCTAGATGTCCCTGGAGATTAAAATGCTCTAGATTTTGGTGACCATGTAATTTCTAGTGTAAGCACATTTGCCAAGGTTCAGTCACCTATTTAAAGGCCTGTGCTTATACCATAAGTCAGTCTGCTAGAGGCTTCTCCATGTACCCCAAAAACAGCTCCAGGAACATCACATGCCGGGATCTTGTGGGTGACAGGACTGTCAAGAGAGGGCCAGCATGACCCTGGAAGGGGTGTGGGTATTAGATTACAGAAGTCCCCATTCTGTATCCCAAGATATCCTCCAGGACCAGAGGCATCCAGCCATCTTAGATGTGTCCCATCACCTTATGGCATCACCAATGTGACCAGCAGTACCCACCCCACAGCAAGATGCCTAGTTTTAGAAGCCAGACAGGTCCTTACCCTTGGTATCTAGTGATGCTGGACAGCAGAGACTCAAGGGAGCTCCCTAAAATGATAAGATCCCAAGAAATTGATAGTTCCTGGGTTTACTGCTCCCTGTTTCTCATTGGTCTCTAGGATTTCAAGGGCCTCATTCACTCAGTGAATGTGCCAAAGGGAAAGTCCCGACTCTGAGTCCTCCTGTGAACACCTACTCACTTCTGTTCAGGCATCACCTGCTGCCTTCCTGCTGAACAAAGATTCAGCACAGAGGGTGGGGGGTTCCCAGGAGGTAACCAAGGCTAAGTGAAGTAATCACTAGCAAATTTGAGCAGAAACAGCACAAAACCACTCAAGACTTTGGGGTGCTCTACTCTGTAATTCACTCATGAGTCTAGGAACAGTCCACTTTCATCTCTGCTGGTTTACACCACTCTGCCAACTATGACAGGAGTAAGAGCAGCTGCCTATGCATACCTACCCACTCTACTAGGCTGTGTGGTCACAAATCTGTTCTGAACATGACACAAAAACTTTAGCTTGCAGATGTCCCAAGGAAGCTAATTATAAACTGAACCTTCTTACAAATACCAGGCTATTTACATAAGTAGTTCCCAGAGACAATGCCCATCATCCTTAGACCCAACCCTTCTACATCTGTGATCTGCACCCTTACCTTGGCTCAGCAAAGTAACTTGAACTCACCCAGAGGGCAATATATAGACTTACCCATTAGGCCACTGAGGAAGACACCATAGAGGGACAATCCTGTGGTGGCTGCATTCCATATAGTGCCAATGACAGCATATAGCAGAATGGTGCCCAGGTTACCAAAGAAGAGTCGATTGGGCATGAAGTATCCAGCATCCAACACAATAGGGGGCAGCAGGTAGAAGAAGAAGAGCGTGGGTGTGAGTGTGAAGGAGGCAATGTGGTCAGCTGCCCAGACGATGCCGCCTAGCACCAGGCCCAGAACGATGAGCAGAGCGCTCTCAGGGACGATACTGGTGACCTTGTGGGACAGGTGAAAGACTGTGGGAAGGAAAGAGGGTCAGGAAGATCAGGGCTTATAAGGGACCACAATGGCAAAGAGAAGATCTGGAGACAAAGTCCCCCAGAGGAATGGGAGGGGTCGGGGAAGACACACATACACACACCCCAGCAAGGTATCCATGAGATCAGTGTGGTCACTGGTTTCTTGCAAGCTTGATTATCAAGAAGCCAACTAGTTTCCACCCAGGGTTTTGAAGACCCTTCCTGTAAGAGCTGCTATCAGTGGTTCTCAATCTGTGGGTCACAACCCCCAAAACCATTAGAAAACACAGATATTTACATTAAATTCATAAAGTAGTAAAATTACAGCTGTGGCTTGTTCTTCGTCTCTGATCTTCCAGCGTTCACCCCAATACCGGCTCCAGGTTTGATTTTATTAATAAGTACCTTTAAGATTCATGCTACATGAAGTAGCAAGAACTATAATTGTATGGTTGGGGGTCACCAACCATAGCATGAGGACTGTATTAAAGGGCTGCAGCATCAGGAAGGCTGAGAACCACAGCAATAGATGGACCTCTTCCTTGGTACCTGGATAATGTAAAGTTTTCTGTCTCCCCAGCCACCCACAGCTGATGGTGGATGAGAGCAATGTTGATGATGAGAAGGTCCTTCTGGAGATGAGTTGTTCCCACCCACAGCTGGCACACATAGACAGAGCCAAGGCCAAGAGCTGGATAGAGCTCAGCCATACCAAGCCAGGTCTCTACCTTTTGGAATTTCCATGTTCACACAAGGGTGACAAAGTTTGTGCACTGGATGACAGAACCTCCCACCCCATGACAGATTCCACAGGTGGAGGCTACATAGCAACTGAGAGGAAGTGACCTAAGTTGGACAGATGGACATCCCTTGCCTCCCAGGTAGGAACCCCCTCCAATTTGACCTGGCTGTTCCTTTGCAGTCACCTTTAGGAGACCCATGCTCCTCATGTCCCCCATTACTCCTTTGGGGTCACAGCCATTTAGGAGTAGCAGCTCCTACAGCAAGGGTCTCCAGAACCCCAGGCAGAAACTGGTTGACTTCCTGATATTCAAGCTTGCAGGAAACCTGTGGCCACCCACCTCAAGCCCTTCAGACCCCTCAGTCTCCTCAGCCATCATCAACCCTGCTAGAGTTTGACAGGTGCTCAGCTCCGCCCTGTAAAGAAGCACAGCAATTCCCGTGAATCTTGTGTCTGATTGTACTCAAAGGAAAGGTGATTATAATTCCTAAGCTAAGCCTGATTTTAACACATTTGGAATGCTGACAGACAAGGCTGCCTCCTTTGGCTTAAGAAATGTTTTGTATAATCAAATTCATTCACCAAAGCTGTTATGTTGATAATATCTCTGAAATCTAAAAAAAAAAAAAATGTGTGTGCTCCCCCAGCCCCCCACTCCCCACCCCTACCTGCAAACATCCAAAATCCCTCTCAGGCCAGGTAGTATGGTAATCAACCAGAGTCTGACCTCAGAAAAAGCATTTCCTGATTGGTCTGATGATGGTGGGGCCTGCGGGATGTTTTTGGACCCACCCTTCTAAACTGGATAGCCTGGACAGGGCTCCCTGGCTGGTTTCTCCACAGATGATTGCAGAGATTGCAGGGATTAGGTGGGCCCCTCCACCCGTGGGGTGGAGGTTGCTACTGTCCTTACATAAAATGATGTCTAAGCCCTTTCCAAGCCTGGAGAGAAGCAAGTGTGAGATCAGGTTGGCACCTCAATATCAACCTTCTAGCCTATCACCAGAAATCACCGACATAACAGAGACTGTGTCACATCATTGGTTACCACCTGTAGTCACCAGTCCAGACTCTGAGTTCCAGGGAAGGTCAGGTTTTAGCTGGCATAGACAGGTAGGTTGTGCTTTGGGGGTTTGAAGGACTGTCTGCCTATGCTCCACAGATGCTTTCCCCATCCCAGGTGCACATCTTACCAATTTGAATCAAGTTTCTCTTCTCCCCTCTGAGAGTTTCCACTAATACAAGGTGGAGTTAACTATAGGGCCTGTCCTGTAACTAAAGGCTGGGCAAGCCCACAAACATGATGTAATGTCCAGACCATGCTGGATGCCTGAGACAAGTCTATAAGAGAAGGTACCAGCTCAGAATGAGGGAAGCTGCTGAAGGGGGGTTGCCCAGGGAAGTTTCTTGATTCCTTGGGGCCCTGCCCAGGGTTATCCAGTCTTTTGAGGTACCAGGGCCACAAGCAGGAAAATATCTGGAAGGTCTGGTACTGTCTCTACTCCAAGGAGAGGCCATGATATGGATGAGAAGATCCTAAATATGTCCCCCCAGGGAGCTGGGGACAAATATGTGTGGCATCACCATCTGCATACAGAAAGCTTGCCTCCTCACTCTGGACCCTATCTATGGCTATGGGCAAGGGCAGCCCAAGAATTCCAGCAAGATTTGACAACCAGCTTGGGACTCCCAGACCCAGCGGGTCCTGAACCGTCCTAGGGTTCTGCATTTTTAGACCCAAAGGAGTTGTGCTGAGGAGTTCCTATGGACAATGGGGTGAGACTGTGATGCCAGAGGAATTCTAAGAACCTATGCCTTGGCATTCCACCTCCCTGAGTCGTCTTCCTACTAACTATAAAAATTGAGCTCTGGGTCCAAAGGCTGTGTTCAGAAATGTCTGGAGCCCCTGTTTCCTCAAAGATGGGCAGCAGCTGCTCCATGACCATAGCTTCCCAAGTGTTCTGGTTGTGGTTCAACTTCTTTTTCAAGGGTGGAAGCCATGCCTTACCTTATCTCTGTCCTCCAATCCCACAAGACCCATGTGTACCAGAAGCTGTGTAGAAGCCACAGAGTCCATATGCATGTCCTGCCTTTCTTCACACCCTGGACTGGCTCCAGTTGGGGGGTCATGTTTCTGCCATGCCCTACTGAGAAATCTGGTGGCCTGTCCCTTTGAGTCACTAAAGTGTGAGACTCTTTGATGAAGGGCCATGAAAAGGGACCAGAAAACCTCTGAGCTCTGACCACACCCAAGCTGTGAGGTTGCCTTCTGCTCAGGACTTTGATCTTTTCCTACACCCTCTCTCCATAATATAGACCACAAATCTCTCACCTCTGTGGAGTTCCCTTTGACAGCTGAGACTAGGGAAGGTACCAGAGTCATTCTTATCTCTAGAACAACAAGGCAAGTCTGCCCTTTAGACACTATCAGCTAATCCCTCCAGTGTGGTTGCTGGTCACTGTAAGATCTCAACAACTGGAGTACAGGTAAATGGAAGACAGGCTGGCTTCAGATCACTTGCTCTTCTTTGGAAGTAGGTCCTGAAAAATCCCAGGAAAATGATAACCTCTTTATTTCTCTGAACATCCATCTATGTGTGGTGTAGATGGGATGTACCTCTGTCCTTTGCCATCTCTGTGATAGAAGGACCAACTTTTAATATACATTTCCACACATGAAAGAAGCCAGAAGAGTGATGGACTATATGTTCTTAGGTCCAAAGTGTCTCCTTCAAGAGTGCTGCTGCCCCCTGCCTACCTCATAGTCCAATACCTCATTGGGGACTGAACCCTGCTTTCTTTTACTATTTGTGGGTGCTGGGTATCTTTTCATGTTTAAGATACTTCCTGTTATTGTCTGTGAGCTGTTATTTACAGAATTTGATTGCTTCTTCATTTGGGCGCTAATTCTTTTCATAAACTGAGCTGTAAAATCCTGATCCCTTCCTTGACTGCCCACAACCATCCTTTCAAGCATGCCCGTGCAGGCCTGATGTGTCCTGGTCCTATCAGGGTTTGCCTTGATGTATTCTGGGTAATATCTGTTCCTGGAACCTCAAGTGGACATTGCTCCTGGTGCTTCAGGAAGGGATCAGGTCAGTCTGTTCTGCTCATTTTATTTTCAATGTCACAAGTTTTCTGTAAAAGACTCGTTTCATCCTTAAGAATGACCTGAGAACAGATCTTAACATGAATGCCCCCACTATCAGCCTGTGGTTTTTGTTTCTTCTATTTCCAGGGAGCTTCCTGAACTCCAGAGCAGGTGGCTGGCTCCATGACCTTTGGTAGTTCTCCATGAACTGGTGGAGTGGAGGTACTGGCAGTTCCTGCGATGGTATGAAATGGAGCAGCAGGCATCCACACCTGGACAGTCCCAGGCTTCCTTCCCTGCGTCCCTCTGATCATCTCATTTTCACTGAAAAGTCTCACGCCGTTCACCGTGCAGTTCTGTGAGCTGAGCCATCTCTCGATGCTTCCTGCTGTTCTCATTCATTTCTCAGTCCTGACTTTGGTGGGCTCATGCACCATTCTCAAGGCTCTGAAATCACACCCAGGTTATCTTGTCTAGCAATGGACTCTAGGTTCTGGAATCTACACTCTGACTCTGGATCTGGTGAATCTGGGGTGTTGTTCATCTTCCCTGGGTCTGGAAACTTTCCTGGTTCATGGTGTCACTAGTTGCCCCTGAGCAATCTCTGTGCATTGTGTTCTTGCTGGACTTGAACAGTTTTTCTACTGACCTCAGCCACCTTTTCTGGGGCCTGTGTGTTCTTCTGGGCTGGATGCCTCCTCTACTCCTCATTCTTCTGTAGCCAGTTTTGCCATGACCATAGGGCAAAAATCTCAGAGATCTTGCTCTGGGCCTCAGTGGCCCTGGGCTGGCAATTAATCATCTGCTCTAGGCTGGGATCATCCTCACTCAGTGGTAGAATACCTGGATTGGGGCCCATAGGGCCCACTTGTCACAGCCTAGAGCAGCCTAGTCTGTGCTGGCTCTTGTGTGTCCCTATGACTACCTCCTAAGCAGCAATCTGCATTGTAATTAGCTACTTAAGCCAGAGGTTCAATAGGCTTTAAGTAGCAATTTGCTAGTAGCTCAACAATTACAGACATAATGAGCATTTTAGAAATTAGTAAGCCAGCTACTGCAGAGCAATCCTACAGTAAGTAGTACCTGCTTCCTGGTGCTGTAAGGGTAAAGATCTGTAGTTGGCCACACAGGTCTGATGTCATTCACATACAGGAAGGGCCTGTATGACTCAAGTATGAGTTATAGTGGGTCTGGACCAGCATCTTGCAAGGTGCTGGGTGCATTTCTGCTGTGGTCTGTTGCCTTAGGGATGACAATGTAGGTTGCAGGTTGCTGGTGAAACGTACACTATACACCAGGCCTTTCTTCCTTCCTGTACCCTCTGCCCATATCACAGATGTGTCTACCAGAGGTGCACCGGTACAATCTGAGAAGTAGGTGCTGCTGCCCCTGCATTGTGGCTTTTGAGGAAGCAAGGTAGGAGGAGGACCTGGTGGAGCCTAAGGAAGCGGTTTCAGTGGCTCTTCACAATGATGGTCTTTATCTGTGTATGACTGGTCCTTATGTTGCCTGAAAGCCCAGTATTGGGAGCATGGAGATGCTGTACAGAATGGAAGGAGAATTTCTTCCCCACAGGGGAGACACACACACACACACACACACACACACACACACACACACACAGCCCATCTACCTGCACAGGACAGGAGCTGGGTAACTGACATGAGGATTAGGCATGTAGTGTGGCCTTCTACACTGAAATTCTCAAGTCTACAAGCTGTTAGGGAAAGTGTGACCTATAGGCTACAAGAGCTGTGCTGGGCTTTACATCCTAAACATACCCAAAGGCTATGAGATAAAAGCTTGGCTCCCAGGATGGTGCTGTTATAGAGCTTGTAGAAGGTAGAAGCCTAGATCATGGGAAGTCTAGCCTTGAGGGAGTTTATGACAGCTTACTCTCCTTTATTTTTTCCTTTCTTTCTAAAGATTTGTTTTACTTTCATTTATGTGTATATGTGTAACTGCATGTGTTTTTATGTGTGCCACACAGAGGCCAGAGGGCACCAAATGCCCTAGAACTGAAGTTACAGGAGTTTTCAAGCTACCTGATATGGGTACTGGGAATGGAATTTGAGTCCTCTACAAGAGCAGTAAGTACTGTTAACCCCTAAGCCATTTCTCTAGCCCCTCTCCTTTGTTTCTTTATGGCCCTAGTCATGAGGTTAGAGGTTTTGCTTGATTGCATAACATGTTTCTGTCAAGATTTGTTGCCACGGTTCAAGAGCAATAGGCCAAGCAGGGTCTGGAACCTCCAGAGCCACGAACCTAAATAAGTTATTTATCCTGGTAAGTAGTTCATCTCAGGCTTTTGTTATAGTGATAGAAAGCTGACCAGAACAGCAGCAGAGGATATCTGAGACCCTGAGACAGAAAGAGCAAACACCCTGCTGCATTTGCTGTCCCAGGGATTGACAATGGTCCAGAATCTATCAGAATGTATTCTACTGGGGTTGGGCTCAGTTGTGTAACTGCCAAAGCCAGAACTAAAGCAAGCTTCATAGAAACAAGAGCCAGTAACAACAGGCAACAGGGAGAGGGTCTTCTTAGAGAACAAATAAAATATTCTAGGAACAAGGAAACCAGAGAGGATAGAGTTGGGTCCTGATCCCCGGTGTCAGCTGAGGATATTCCACTGGGCAGGTATAATAGAGGGACATCCAAGCCCACGAGTAACTTATTGCTGAGGCTCAGAGTCACAGTTAATTAAGCACAAAATGGTACAGCCATCTGATGGTGACAACAGACAGCAAATGCTTTAGTTATAATTACACTCTCTGACTGAAGTGAAAGGTCTAAGCATTCATAAACAGATACTTTGGGACTAGGCACCAGGAAGAGCAGACACTTCTCAGGGTCTCCAGCTGACCCTGACCCCCTCACACTTTAGCAATGCAGCTGGGGACAGGCCTTGGTCAGGCCCAGAGTCAGCCCCACTGCCAAGGATCTTTCAAGGTGACAGGCAGATTTAGCTGAGTCCTTGCAAATGCAGCAGCACAGTAAATCCCTTGGTTTTACTTTAACAGGTACAAGCCTTAGAGAATTAAACTCTGCCTAACAGAGCAACTGGACCGAGCAGTGAAAATCTGCCCGGAGGAAAGAAGGGGAAGCGCCTGACATGGGCCCCCTCCTTGTGCAGCAGACCAGGTCAGGGTCAGACATGAGCTTACACATGCATGTGCAGTTTCCTGTGCTCACGTGGGTACATAGAGAAAAGCACATAGATGGCATAAGCACACTCACACACTAGACATAAGATCCTCAAGTGAACCACGGAAAAGGGCCAGAGTCTACTGTAAAGCCAGCAAGTCAGACCAGCTGCCTCGCCTGCACACAGAAGACCCTGTTTTTCTGACCTCAATATTACTTCTGTTTTCAGCTGAGCCCACTGGGCACCTTGCAAGAATTTCAGTAAGTATGTCAGGTACAGCTCCAGGGCAGGAGGTAAAGATATTTATAGTTCACCTGGAGTCTAGCCAATTCCTCCTCCTGCCTGCATCCCACTAGGCAAGTACCTGGAAGTTCACCCTGGTCAGGGTGGACCTGGTTTCTTCTGTTGTAGGCAGGGAGCCCCTCTATGAGCCAGGCCTTCTTCAGGCCTGATAAGTTTGGAGAACAACATTCTAAAGTCTAGCCATGCTGCTTACAAATGGCAAGGTATTTTCAGCACTGTTCATTTACAAAACCTAGGGAAACACTGCTCATTTCTAAATTGGTAAAATGTCGGTGGCTTTCCAGGAAAGCAGTGTCTCCTTCTGCTCTAAGCCATGGCAAGCAACAGAAGCAAGGTTCTCCTGCAGCCCCACAGATCTGTACTGAGAGATGGCTCCAGAGCCCTTCATGTGTTTGTAGGGTCTCCTTATTGGCTACCAACTATGGAAGTTAATATTTTGGCTTATTTTATATCCTCATTACCATACAGCTCTATTTTACATCTACTCAAACTAATATTTTTGTGGAAAATTGCTCAGATAGGCTGAAGTACAGTTCCTTAAAGAACCACTGTGACCTGAACTAACTCAAAATTCTGCTCCAAGCTGAAAACTTGGAGACTGCTTGCCTTTGGTGGCTTCTGAGGGTTACAACACAAGATTGGAGTAGGGTATTGACTCAAACAGAATATAAGGTAAAGTAGTTCATCAGAGTCTAGTCAGAGTCAGGTGAAAGTAAGAGACCCATGGCTAGTGCCTCATCCTGTGCTCCTCTTGTTGCCCCAGGGTACTGCCTACCAACATGGCAGGCATCTACCACTTCGCAGTTGTTTCTAATGGTACTGACCACAAATGTGTGCCTTAACAGCGACAGGTAACTGCTTATTAAGTGTACAGAGTGGGGACAGCTTGGGCCTGCGGTATAGTCAGAAGCCAGCCAGGTATCAGCCCTGCCCATCCTCTCCAAAGTGTCTCCCAAGAGCCACCATACCCTCAGCCTGCTTTGAGGTCATGCTACTCCTATAATCCACCACTTACAACAGATGGTGAGTTTCCAGGCTTAGTGTAACACAAATCTTACAAGGTCTTTTAGTGAAAAAAAAAAAAAAAAGCCAGAGCCAGATATTGGGGTGAAACCTGAAAGATCAGAGAAGCAGAACAGCCAGCCACTAGCTTACCTCTAGTTACAAAACCCTCAGCCTCACAGCTTACTTTATGATCTCACAATTGACTGTAACTTAAAACTTGAGAGAAAAGTTTTAATAATCACATCTAATGATTGGTTGCTGGAGCAGCTTCTGTTGTTCCAATTCACCCACAAATAACAGTTACAAACGTTGAGAGAAACATACAAACAACAGGCTGAAACTAGGGGGACAGTCAGACCTAAGGAAGGAACAGCCTGGAGGCTTCCATGCCATCCTGAATCTTCCTAAGCACAGGTCCCAGCCACAGCTGAGCAACCAGATGAGCCTACCAGAAACCTTCTGGCCACTGGCTAGAAAGCTAGGAGACAAAGATCCAAGCAGCAAATAAAAAGAGAGCAGCAAAGCTCAGTAAGGAAAGAGCCCGATACAGGAACCTCATAGTCACTGAAAAATCCTAACCACCAGTCAGTTCCTGTAATCTCCTGTGAATCACACAGGAGTATGGTGGGTCCCATGCTGTCAACTAGAGCTAAAAAGCAGAATAAATATCAGTCAGAATAGGAACAGACAGTACTTGGAGTTTCAGTCCACATAAAGGTCAGTTGCCTGGCAAGACCATTGTGGTGACATATTGTGTACCCTAATAAACTTGCCTGGGGATCAGAGGACAGAGCCAGCCACTAGATTAGACATAGAGGTCAGGCAGTGATGGCACACACTTTTAATCCCAGCACTTGAGATCTCATGCCTTTGCTTAGGAAGCACACATGCCTTGAATCCCAGGAAGTAATATGGCAGGGCAGAGAAAGGTATAGAAGGCGTGAGGAAACAGGAACTCACTCTCTTTAGGCTGAGGATTTAGTAGAGGTAAGAACTAGCGGCTGGCTGTTCTGCTTCTCTGATCTTTCAGCTTTCACCCTGATATCTGGCTCTGAGTTTTTTATTGTAAGACCATCTAAGATTCGAACAACAGACCATCACCTTAAAAAGCAGTTATCTCCAGAGGGACATAGTAGCACACAGTCTCTGCAGGGTATAAGTCACAGTGTCTTGGACACAATTAAAAATTATTAGACATATGAAGAAGTAGAAAAATAGGACCAGCCATAAAACAACTGATGAGGACCTCACAGTGATGCAGACACTGGAACTATCAAATAAGGACTTTAAAACAGCTTTAAAAACAGTAAAAATATTCGAAGAAAATGTAATTATTTGAAAAAAATCTGAGAATTGGAGTAGGATATAGGTTAGCAATTTTTCTTTGAAAGAGAAATATTAATGTCACAAGATTCATGGGATTCACAAATGATTAGCTCTGCAGAACACTGCTGTATTGTATGCAAACAAAAGGGCAAGGCTGTGAAGATTTGTTCTAATAAAATTTTATTTAAATAAATAGGTGACTGGTCCATGGACCATGGTTTCTTGACCCCTAGAATATGCTATCAAAAAAATTCAAATGGAAATTCTGGAGTTGAAGAATGCAATATCTGAAATAAAAGTGTAGACTAATTTCACAGCATAGAAATGGAGCTAGAGTTTGCAATTTGAAGGCATGCCAGTCGAAATGACACAACCTGAGGTAGAAGGAGAAAACATGCTTTTGTTAATTAGGAAGATGCCATGGTCTGCAGGACGGTATCAAAAAGTCTAATGCATGTGTGTAGTAGGGCTCTAGAATGAGGGGAAAAGCAAGCAATGAGAGAATTTTGAAAAAAAAAATAGTAGTAGAAAATGGCCCCAGCTTGGTAGGAGACATGCTTATGGAGTTGAGAAATTCTGCCAACTTCAAACAGTGTAAATTTTTAAAAGTTACACTCTATAGGACCATTAAATTCAAATAGTTAAAAACCAAAACTGAGAAAATAGTAAATACAAATAACTGTTTCTTTTTGTTTTTATCCCATCAAAGGACAGGAAAAGAACATAGGTCTGTTGTAAGTCTACCAACACTGTTACCTCTTTTGTCTCAGAGATCATCTGTCTTCAGGATAGTTTTTACAGAGGCCTGGAGCCTGACTCTGACATATCAGATGTCCTCAGGACCCCTCCTCATTTCACTTTCCACTGCACTACACTTTTAGAACATCATGCTTTTGAAGCAGATGCCATGAATGATGTTCTAACTGATCACAAACACTCAGCAATTCTGTTTTTCCTTTGGTTTATCAACAACCACATAGTGCTGTGTTGAAGCTGCAGATGAGCAGGACAAAGTCCCTCATGCTACTTGTAGGAAGGTCATTGCCAGCACATCCTGTAGTGGCTGGACCTCAGACATGGGCACCCTCCACACAAGGGGCACCCACATCTCTATGATGTTGCAGAAATATTTTTTATACTTCCTGTAAACAGTGGGCATTTCAGGAGAAGTTGGGGGTGGCTGGGATACTGACAGGCACACAGTGTCATCTGAGGGCAGAGGCAGCACTCAAGAAGTACCTCCACTATCTTGGTTTCTCCTTCAACACTTGAGCAAATGGTTACCTGAGAGGACTTAAGGAGCTGGACACATGTAGGATGGACTGGGCTTTGGCTCGCTAAGGTATCTATGGTAGAGAAGTGGGGCTGTGCCTTCCTATGTTGCTTCAATGTGCTAGGCACCCATCAAGGAGGTCCCTGCAATGAGAGGTTCTGTGTAGCCTCCACAACTGTAAGCTCTGCCCTCATTCCTATCATATCTGGTCCTCCCTGAGCCCATAGTCCTCCAGGAGATCCTTGTTATTTATCATGATGGGCTGAGATGGCACTGAAGGAAGCCTCTCGGGTGGGAACTGTGGACAAGCCCTGGCTTTCTGAAGCAGATCCCTTGGGGACCTCAAGGACCTGAACTTCAATCTTTACTGCTGACCAGGTTGCATGTTTTAAATGTAGAGACTGAAAGGCAAGTAGAAGATACAACCAGCTCCTAGACAGCAATGAGACATGGCCAGAGTGACTTTTTTCCCTTGTCCCTGAAGCCCAGAGAAGAGCCCTTAGGTCCCTAGTCTTCTTTTCACATAGACCTCCAAACCTGTCCTGTCTGTGCCTACCAGGACCTCACAAACTATGAGTTATCTGGCCATCAGCTCCCTAAGGGCAGAACTGACTCACCGGGTACCTGGTAGGGATCTTGGATAGAGAATGTAGTCTTAGGTTCTTTTACACAGGTGACACTGTGAGGTTGAGTCCAGGGCCTTCAAGTTTGGAAGGGAACCCACTGTCAGGTTGGAGATTAGGGGTAAGCAGTGGGCAAGGCACACCAAGACTCAGTCGGTACAGGAGGGTAACTGTGCATAGTGGCATTGAGACAGGGTAACTGAGCCCAGCTATGATGGCTGCAGCTAACATACATGAGGACTGGAGGAGCAGAGTTCACAACTAAGCCAACACAGGTGGCCTGGCACCACCCAGGACTTCCCTAAACCATGAAAAGTGCCAGAGGCCAGGCAAGCCAGGGCCACCTCCTTTTCAAGAACAGAGTCTGTCATATCACAGAAAGCCACTGTGAGAGGAACATGGGCCTGACAGAAGAGTAACCCCAAGGTCAAATCGACATAAAATTCACTAAAGCAAAGATTCTTAAAGGACAGGAGACACAGGTGGATGTTCTAAGAGCTACAAAGAGTTTACAAGCATACTCCCTGTGGGGGAGAAGGTATGAACCTTGCTGACCTTCATACCTTCATGTGAAAAATTCCAGCAAAGCATTTTCTCTGAAAACTTCTTTTGTGCAGATAAACTGTGTGGCAATGTCCCAAGGCTGCTGTTCATTGGGCCTGTGCCCATTCACATGGTCATGGTCACTACCACCTGGGAGCTTACAACTTGTCTCCAAAGTCAGGACTTTGTCACCATTCACTTCCTGGATACAAAGCAGGAACTCATCAGGACTACTGAGCTTTGCTGTTCATATGGCACAGGCAGATGATAAGTTGGAACTCTGAAGACTAAAAAAAAAAAAAAGCCATAGAGTGGCCCAGAAGCACAGGCCCTCACTGAGGGCAGGGTTTGAGACACTGGGCATTGGTACGTGAAAATGTTGATGGGTTGGTGGCAGACTTCATGTCAGCAGCCCACCCTTCAGCTAGTTGCTCCTCTGAGACAAATGGTTCAGAGCCCATAGGGGCCTCCTGAGGGCCCCCACCAACACCTACCTCCCTGGGACAAGGTGACCCTGCAAGGTACAAACAGCCCCTATCTGTGGAGCCAGAAGGGCACGGTCCCTGCACACCTAAGGGCTCTCTGTTCCCAGGACTTGCCTGTTCACTACCTAATAGGTAGTTCTATCTTTGGACTTGGTTTCCTGGTGTAAGATGACAATCTCATCTTTTGTGGATGTTGTGAAGATGAAAACTGGATCCCCAAAGAGCAAGTGCATTACTTTATTTTTGAACCCAAAGAAAATGAAAGGCCAGAGGGCTTATTTATTGTCTTTATTCCCAAGGATTTTGCATGGGCCTAAAAGAAGTAGGGAGCTCTCCACACAGATACAGCACTGACATATCCCTGTTCCAGGTTCCAGTGAAGTTTTGTACCTCCAGCACATGGCCCTTCCCAAGGACGGACTCTAAGACTCTTGGGAAATAGCAAGAGATGCTCAAACATAAAGGGCTAGAGTAGAGGAATGATGGACACTAGCATGCTGAGGAAGAGTGTGACATTGAAAGGAGATACATGCAGGGACTCAAGACCTCTTGGGGTGGGTGTGGTGGTGCATGCCTGTAATCTTATGGGGAGGCAGGCAGAGGGATCATCAAAGAAAGAAAAAGAAGAGAAAGAGAAATGGGGAAGGGAGAGAGACCTCTTAAAAGTAAACAACACAAGAGCAGTAATTTTAAAAATCAGCAGAAGACCTGAAAGATGAAATTAAGAAATTCTATCAGAAAAATAGAAGAAAGAGAATACATATGTTGAAGAGCCATGCTTCTAGACTAAATGGCAGAAAATACATGACTCCATAAAGCAAGTAGACCTGCCCCCAAGATACTATTATAAACAGAACGGATACTACATCATGGAGAGGAATCCCTGTACAAACAATGCTGAGGAAGGCTTCCAAGGTCAGAAATCAACCATGAAAGAAGCCAAGCAGTATCTCCAACTCCACACAGAAAAGCGCTTACAGACTGCACCTCTTTGTCCCCAGAGTGGCCAGGCTATAACATCTCAATAACCACCAGGTTGCTTCCTAGCCCTGGACCTGTGGCCCTGACTAGAAGGCTCAGGGAACGCTGCAGAAGAACATACATTAAAAAGAGGGACCTCAGTACAAAAGCATAAGATGCAAAGATGGCCCAGGTCAACCGGGACAGTGCCAGGGGACCAGGCAAGGCTGGGCAAGGAGGCTCTGAATCTCTAAAGAAGAAAATGAGAGCCTCAGAACTCAAGCAGAGCACAGCAGCATATGGCTTGAGCAAAAATTCCCTGACTAGCACATAGAAAATGATGCCAACAGTGCTGGTCAGATGGATCAGCAGGTAAAGGCACTTGCGACTAAGCCAAGTGACCTGACTTTGATACTTGGGACCCACATGGTAGAAGGAGAGAACTAGTTCCTGAAAGTTGTCCTCTGGCCATCACACACATGCTATGGCATGAGCACATGCACTTGCACACGTGTGTATGCACACACAAATATAATTACATCAATAACAAAAAGAGGCCCAATAACTTCAGGTAAAACAGAAAACTGCATGGACAATGGAGAAGCAATTACTGTGGAGAATTTTGCAGTTAGAGTAACTACACCCCTAGAATGTAATGGAAGACAGAAGACCCAAGATCATAGTGTGGGTTGGGCAGCCAGAGAGCATTCCAAAATCAACCTGGACAGGAGGATAGTTGAACATGACACTCTGTCCTAAGCTTACTTAGTCATCTTGGGAAGTAGGGACAAAGAAGCAGTGCAGAGGCTGCCTCTTTCCAAACAAATTCTAGAATTGATTGAGTCTCTGTGCTGATAGCCAAAAGATGATACAGCGGCTGTACTAGCAGCACTCTGCTAGCTGATGAGAGTTTGCAGGATGTAGTGTTTACTCAGAGATTCTGGGCCCTCTCCTACCCTGAGGGTACATGCAGTACAATGAAGACCGAAGCAGGAAGCCATGGGATAAAGGATCAGCAGCTTGATGGGAAACAGAAAAACACAAGGCAAGAGAAACAAATGTGTAGAGAAGAGTACAGAAAGGCCCAATGGTGGTAGGGTATATCAAGAGGTTTCATCGTAGAGCATGCCACTTCCTCTGGTAACTACAGTACTCCAGGATTCCCTATGGCTCCCACTGTCCTGTATCTGTGTTGTGTATCTGTGACCCCATCACCTGTTAACCCAGATCTTCTGTATTTTTTGGCCAGATTCTCTTCCCCCATCTCTGTAAGCACCATCTTCTTATCTCATGGGCTCACATTAAAATTCCTTCCCAGGAGGGAAGATCATTCATTTACTTATTCATATGTGATATTTTGGCAAAATACACTTAATTACCTAACACACAGCAAAGCCACAGGCTACACCCAAGTCCCTATAGGCCTTGTTTGCTGATATCAAGAGTGTCACAGATGATATGTTTGCCTATGTAGAAAGTCCAAAAAAAATCAACAAAGGATTTCTGGAACTAATGAGTGACTTCAGCAAGGTAACAAAACGCAACACTCATACAAAAAATCCACTACTTTTCTACACAACAGCAAAAGAACTATTTGAAATTTAAAACACTCTGCTATATACCTTAGCACAAACTGAAACATAAATCACTCTCCTCTGAAATGAGAAGATACACATTTAAAAAGCCATAAACTTTGATGGAATAAATCAGATAACAATAAATTAGGGTGTTCCATGTTTGTGGATTAGAAGTCTGAATTCTGTCAAAATGCTGGTTCTTCACCACTTCATTGCAGCAGGTTACTTTGTGTAGTCAGACATCCTGGTCTGCAGTTCATCTGGAGAGGCAGAAGCCTGGAAACAAATGCTCAGTGCTGAAGGAAGACAAGTAAAACTGACGCCACAGTGGCCAGACCTGATGCAGTTGGGCTTTTGGAACTGCCCAGTGCTGGGAGAGCAGACAGATCACTACCTAAGATGACAGCAGAGAGACACCTGCAAATACCACTTAGGGAGATTCAACAGAAACAGATGGTTTTCCAACAAATAGGACTGAAATAATTGGACATGTAGATGTGAAAATATGAATCTAAACACAGATCCTACAGCCTGCCTTTTAAAAAAAACAACAAAACTAACTTAAAATGGACTAAACACATGAAAGTAAAACACAAAAGCCCCAATTAAATTAATTAAAAACTTGGGAGAAAATCTGTGGCTATTCACCTGGCAAAAATTAATATCTAGAATATATAAGATATAAAACAGCAAAAGAACTTCTTAAAAGAAGTACAAGTGGCCAATAAATATTAACACATTAAAAAATGTTCAACATCCTTAACTATGCCATAAACACAATTAAAACTACACTGAGGTTCCATCTTTCTCTTTTCAGAATGGTAGTCAAGAAAACAAGCAACAGACACTTCAGAGGACGTTGTGGAAAGAGACCCTAACTGCTAGTGGGGATGTAAATTTGTCAGTCATGAAAATGTGGTACAAAAACAAATGAAGTTTCATTCAACCATTAAAAAAATTAAATCATTTGGAGGAAAATAGATGGAGATCCTCATATTAAATAAAATAATCAAGACACAGAAGGACAAATAGGACATGTCTTCTCTAACATGTGGTGTGATAGTTAATCTTGATTGTCAACTTAATGGAATTTAGAATCTCCTAGGAGGCGTATCTCTGGGTGTGTCTATGAGGGTCTTTCTAGAGAGGTTTAACCAAGGTGGAAAGACCCACCCCAAATGTGGGCAGCACTATTCCAAGGGCTGGAGAAAGTAGGCTGAGCATCAGCATCCATCTCTCTCTGCTTCCTGGCTATGGGTGCTCTACCTACTAACTGAGGACCACCTGGCAATTGATGGCTGCTTGTTGGGGCTGGAGTCATGTTTCTTCAAAGGTATGGGCACTGGTAGATTGGCCGGGTTCTGGTGGATGGATCTATATCCATGTGATTGCAGGCAGCACTATCTGGACTGGGTGAGTTTTAAAAAAATTAAATAAGGAAAGGAAATAAAGGTGGGAAGGGAGGTGTGTGTGTGTGTGTGTGTGTGTGTGTGTGTGTGTGTGTGTGTGTGAGAGAGAGAGAGAGAGAGAGAGAGAGAGAGAGAGAGAGAGAGAGAGAGAGAGAGAGAGAGACTGTGTGTGTGTACTAGGACATGCATGTAGAGGTCTGAAGATAACTTCCAAGAGTCAGTTCTTGCCCTTCTACCACTTCTACCATCTGGGTTCCAGGAATGGAACTCAGGTGATCAGTCTTTTTAAAACCCGGGCTAGTGAGCAGGTAAAGGTACTTGCTGTCAAGCATAATGGCTTGAGTTCAATCTCCAGGACCCACATAGGGGAAGGAAAGGACTGACTCCTACAAGTTGTTCTCTGACCTCCACAAACATTCCTTAGCATACATACATATGGTGTCCAGCTTGGGAATGGCGTTTCTATCCACTGTGTGTCTATCTTGGCATTTTTGTTTATTGACTGCCATTATGTTCTGTAACCCTCTCAGATACCAGGTACCTTGTAAGTATCTCATCTGCTGAGCCCATTTCTTACCACTTCTCCATAGAGAGATGCAGATGCTGGCGCATGTCCTGTGACGAGCCTAAAGCATTGGGGAGAGAAGAGCTTGTCCCTGTACAGACAGTTTAACCAGACTGCCGTGAGTGCTTTTCAGGTGCTGTGACATATACAGGTAGGAACCAGCAGTGTCCAAGTTCAGGTGTAGGAGGCACTTCATTGACATCTGTGTTTCCAGGAGCCTGAATGCACAGTGTTTCCTTGGAGAATATACCATCTATCTTCATTTGTCCCTCCCTGAAGTCCTGGAACTTTACTCCAAGTCTCATTCCTCTCAGGATTTCTAATTCTAGAGGTTGGAGTCACCTCCATGGACTGACTGGATGGGGAACCACTGGTCTCTTAGATGAGGTGATGAAATGGGGCCCAGAGATGGCACTACCTGGACAAAGTATGCTTATACATTCCTTCAACAGTCTAGGTGTGGGGGCAAGAATGTGAGCAGTATGAATATGCACACGCAAAATCACCCACACTTATATACACACAGGTGGCTGTGTGTGCACTCACATGCTCAGCATAATCAGTAATGGGTCTGTGCTGTTTGCACACACAGGCATACTTCCTAAGAGGCCTATGGACTCCTGGATCCACATCTCACTGGCTAGCTTATATCCTCCATCCCCAGTTCTCCCAGTCTTTCTTGTGTGACTAAGATAAGCCACATTGCTTCCACCTGGCAGTTGGGGCTCCCCAAGTTCCAGGGTCCTCACTTGTGTTCACTTCCCTGCCTCACTGTCTCTTGGGCAGCTACCCCAAAGTTGGAGCTCAGGAGGCCCAGAGAGGGCTAGGAGAAAGGCCTAAGATACTAACTTCTATGGGTTCAGGTTGAAGGACAAATCAGCCCTAGAACAGCAGGAGAGCTGCTATGGGTCCCCTGAACAAGCCTGGGCCAAATCTAAGAACAAAGCCTTCAGCAACTAGTGATTTTCCACTCCTCCTTTTCTTCAAAAAGTCCCTAAAAACAGGCTTTTTAATGTTCCCATTTTGCCTTGAAAGAAACTCTTTCCCAGAAGAGAATACAAAACTAACTGGACTTTGGCACATCAACTCAGCAGGTGGTAAATCCTGCAGGTTTCCCAACTTGCCCAGGAGGGGAGAGAGGACCAGGCCACTCCACCTCATTGGAGACTTCCCTCTTTAGGGAGAGCCTGAAAATCTGACCTGGAAATGATGCTGGTTTTGCCCTCATCTAGAGAAAGCTCCCAGAGCTGCATTGCTGGCTCCACACAAGCCTTCAGGATATATGGCTAGGGAAGTGAGCCTGGCAGGTGCTCCTAAACGCCTCCTTCTCAAGGGCTGAGTGTTCTTCAGGGGGCCCCAGGCAAAGTCCACACCCTTTACCCAACAATGAGCCGCCTCCATCTGTCCCTGACCACACCTCCTCCAATCAACAATGCAACCCCAATGATCCTGGTCCTGATATTCTCAGAGTTTACCCCATCTGCCCCTACTTCTTGGGTCTCTAGGGCTTGAGCTCGTGTCTAATCCCTTTACTCTGAAGCTCTTCTTACAGTGTTCAAGATGAGCTACTCCCTCTGAATTTCTAGCAGCTCTCTAGCCCCTCAGTCTGAACTCTGTCCCCTGTAGCCAGCAGTCTGAGGGCTCTTCTTCAGATAGGAGATCCTTCTTAGAGAAATGACACTCAGTGACAGACGTGGACAAGAGGAATAACCATCTAGAAGCAAAAGCCAATGTACACACGCCTGACAGACCTCACCTGTCCAGATGCTAGATTGACACTCAGATGTGACACCCATACTACTCTAAGCTTATGGCCCCTTGACTGCCATGCCTGAAAACATGTCATCAAGGATGCCATGCACAGGAAATTGGGTGGAAGTTTGGGGAAGAATTTCACTAAGGACTTAGGAATCTCTTCCTTGAACTCAGAACCAAAGGGGTGCTGGGAACTTAAGGTAGGAAGCCAGGTTCATCAGCATGTCATTTACTCATCTATGCATAAACATATCCATGTACTCAACCAGTTGTTTATGCTCAATCTCGCATGCATTCACTCCCAGACCTACAGAAGCCTTGCTAGGTACAGACAGATTAGCCACCAGAGACTCAATAAGAAGAAAATTGCACACTTGCTTGAGTCAAAAGAGCTTGGAGTTAGGGAATACCTTCTTGAGAAATACCTTCCTCAAGAGCTGGAGTAGCCTAGAGATTTCTAAGCTGGGAAGAGGTGGGGTAGTAGGAAGCCGGGCATGGAAGGATAAGGCTAGGAATGAGGGAGGTAGTCTGGACTCCAGCTGGAGCTGAAGAAAGACTTAACTGAAATTCAGCTGGCACCTAGCTCAGAGCCATGAGACACTCACTGGCAGCCTTCCCCCTTATTCCCTCCTATCCCTCAATGATGGCATTCCACTTCCAGGCTAGGAAGAGCTGTGTAATGTTCTCAACTCACCAGTACTTGCCCATCCATATCCCTGGCTAGAGGCCTGAGAAGAGTAAAGCCTAGAGAAGAGCAGAAGGAGAAGGAGATGAGAGGAGAGGGAAAGAGGTTAGGGGGCATGAGGGACAGCAGGGTAAGGTGCAGCTCAGGCAGGCAGCTGGGCCTTCTTAGCTCCTCATGGTAGGGAGGTAACCAGGAGAATGGATAGGAACTCCCAGCTGCCCACTCTGATCAGAGAAGCCACACCTACCCCAACTTTGAGAGGAGATGAGGGGTGTTGTTCAGCCTCAGCACTGAGATGTGGCACCCTAAAACATGGTGCCCTGAACCCTACAAGCCATGGCACAATAATCCCAGGGACCTCTATATCCTACAACACAGAAGATAAAAAGCCTTTCTCTAATGGAAGCTCCAAAGCTGGGTGGAGACAGGACAGCTGAGCTGATCCTAACCTTGGCAGACTCATCCCAAACACATTGAGGACCCCATGGAAGACTCAGGACATGCATATCCATGGGAACCCTAACTATAAAGTACCCCAAGCTAAGACCCTTGTTCCCAAAGAAACCTAAAGGAAAGTCCCAACAGATGACAGACTATAGGGATAGAGAAGAATCCCACAGCCATGACGTGACATGAAGCCACCTGAATGGTTAGGTTATCTGGGCCCAGAGGTGCATTGTAGCAGCCTGGCTTGTTAGAGTGAGCAGTTTGTTGAGGGCTAGAAGGGTACTTGTTCCCCATAGTGAGGTTTTCCAGGACAAGGGTCCTAGAAGGCCTAATGGTTCTCTCTAGGTGGCAGCAGGAGGAGCAGTGTGGCATAGTCACCCATACACATAGGCAGGACTAGTCAGGGCACACCCCTGCAGTGCTACAGCACGTCCTAACCTTTTCTCTCTTTCCTTAGGAACCTTCAGCTTCAAATGCTGCATGGTATGACAGCTCAAGCAACTATCCAGGGACAGTTCCCAAAATAAGACTTTATACCGTCAGTGACTCCCAGCAGATTCTAGAGAATCCCCTCAGCCACATGAGTTCTGCTCTATGGCCTGCCCCTAGGCTGTCTCCCCCTACTGCCTATGCCTCACTGACATAGCCCTCACACCATTCTGTTCTGGTCTGAGAGGCTCCCGATTCCTTACTGATGGGACTCAGCTGGGTTGGTCGCTATTACTGGATCCCCTTCACCGAGCACCTCTGGAGGACCTAGGGGATGTCATTTTTGTAGCCATACAATGACCTCCTCCCATACTTTCCCCAGTTTTAGAGGCGGCACTGCTCCCAGCACAGCAGCAAGGACCCGAGAGCTGTGTGATGAAAACCCTGCTGTAGCCTCTCCTCTCCATGAGTCTGGGCAAACTCCTCACCTCCCTGAAGCCCAGAAGAAGCTCTGATTGCTCTCCCCACAGCCTCTCTGGTCTTACATTCTGTCTTGCAACCAAAGCAGTGGTCTGAGAGGCCAGTCATGACTGAGGCCCACCCACTACACAGCTCAGCAGGGACCAAAGTCCTCTGAAGCCTGCAGGTAAGTTGGTTGTCTTCCCCAGCACTGTCTTGGCCTCTTCCCAGTTTCTTTTCAGTCTCTCTTCAGCCTTTCCAGAAGTTCCCACTAGCCTTTCCTTCTACTCTCCTTCCAATCTCTCCACCAACTCCCCTGGCATCCCTTCAGACTCCTGCCCTGCTTTCCCTACCCTCCTTCCAATCTCTCCACCAACTCCCCTGGCATTCCTTCAGACTCCTGCCCTGCTTTCCTTCTACCCTCCTTTCAGTCCCTACCTGTTCCGCTTCTCTCTTTTTTCTCTTCCTGCAGGACAGCTTCCTCCTATATGCTCCTGAAGCTGCCTAGGCCCGCCCTCGGTAGAGTCTGACACCGAGTGCTGCCTGTGTCCTGACATGGACCCTTGTAGCATAGCACCTACCCAGCCTTGAGTCCCAACATTGTGGCCATAGGTTAGGGACTCCCAAATGGGAGTGTGTGGACAGAGAAGGGAGCACCTCACCCACTGAGGATGAACTCTGGCCTTCCACCACAGACAATCAGACCTTCCCAGTCTACCACCCCTGTGCTGTAGACAGGTACCCTGGCCTTGACATCCCTGCCCTTGGCCTTCCTCAGTCCCCTACTGCAGTAATCACACTACCTGTGTTCTAGGGTCCATGTCTTACTCCCCAGCTGGGTCAACACCAGCTGGAAGAATTATGACCTCCTAACCACAAGGTTGGGCTGGGAGTTACAGACAATCAGAAGAAAACATGAATCCCATCAGTATAAGGCCTTCCCATTGTCTCCTGGAAGGTAGTTCCTGTACAACTTGAGGATGAAGTAGTGTGGACAGTCCTGAACACTTTTAAAGTACATAGTATTTAACCAGTGAGAGCCATGTCCTTGTCTGGGAGCTGTGGAGGAGTTAGCTATACTACCCAAATTCACACATGTATCAGCTATGGGCCTATGTTCAGGACAGAGCTGTGTGTGAGGGGTCTATGATGGGGCATCTGAGGCTGGTTATACAGAGAGGGAATCTGGGAGGTTTCTGAAGAACAAGTCAAAGTCAGCAGGGATCTGAATGAATCCAGAGTTCACAGCTGAGGGAAGAGTTATAAGGCAAGAGCTAGGTGTGGAAGTCCCTGTTACCAAGAAGTTGGTTCTTAAAGCCAGGCAGGGTAGAGCTGAACCTGCAGATTGTTTCTCTCAGCTTCTCTCTCTTCTTGCTTCTGTAGTGGACCTCCAGGGTGGACAATGGGTGCCTGGTGGGGTCTGATTAGAGTAAATCTTCCCTAAGAGCTAGTACTGGTGACGATGTGATGCAGTTGCCTATGGTTGGGATTGAAAGAGATGGAACTTGGGGACAGAGGCTTTGGTCCTTAGAGGAGAGGGTCTTGTGGACTGGTGGAGTCTGAAAGGTGAGGAGATGTCTGCTCCCTGGAATGCAGCTATATTTGAGGAACCTCCTTGGAAAAATCCCCAGTGCCAGGGTCTTGACTGAATATGCCGGTGACTTGCAGTACAGTGCAGGGAGTTGGCCAGCAAGGGCCAACGCCTGCAGGTTTAAGCAGGGAAGGATGTTGGAGGACAAAGCAGGGTCTGGTGGGGGTGCTTGGAAGGATCAGCAAGAGCCACCAGGAGGCCTTGGGGACCTGGGAAGGATTGTCTCCATAAGTTCTAGAATTCAGGTGTGAGGTAAAATTGAATGACAGGGAACACCTGGGCCCACTAGACTACTTAAGATAGAGATGTCCTTCTGCAGAGCTGCCTGTCCACTGGTGATCCTCTTGACTAACACTAGTGGCCAGTCCTTCTGGGGGCAAGTTCAAGTCCCCTAGAGACCCTCAGAGCTATAGCCCTTAGGGATCAGGCTACCCCTTAGTTAGTCAGTGTGCTGACCCAATATGAAGCATGGCAGATAAACCTGGCTGCTGCTGACTTGAGACACTAAGCTCCAAATCTGTACTCCAGAGGTACAGAGAGTGGTTCCTAGATAACACAGAAGGCACACACCCACTCAACATTGGGATGCTGCAGCCCATGGAGAAGCAAGTGAGCTGGATGTAAGGGCCTTCTTGGAATCTCCTGGACCTTCCTAAACACTCTGTATGAAGAAGTCAGTACTGTCTAGTCACAGCAACAGACAGCACCGACCTTACTGAAAAAACCCAATCAGACAGCATATGCAAGGAGAAGCAAGTGCCAGATCCACAGGCTAAACAGATGGGAGGAGGAGGAGGGGGGGGGAGGAGGAGGAGGAGGAAGAGGAAGAGAAGAAGGAGGAGGAGGAGGAGGAGGAGGAGGAGGAGGAGGAGAAGAAGAAGAAGAAGAAGAAGAAGAAGAAGAAGAAGAAGAAGAAGAAGAAGAAGAAGAAGAAGAAGAAAAAGAAGAAGAAGAAGAAGAAGAAGAAGAAGAAGAAGAAGAAGAAGAAGAAGAAGAAGAAGAAGAAGAAGAAGAAGCCTTCATTAACTAGGCGCTCTGAGTCTGAGCTCTCTAAATGTTCTCTCCATAGCTCACCCCTCCCTTTGCTCTGCTAAAGAGGCACACTCCATCCCAGGTCACTGGAGGGCCTCTTCTATTCCAGATCCCCAATGGAAACTGGCAGGCTAGGGATCTCTACATCTGTTCTTGCTCTCCTCACACAGGGGTCTAGTGAATTCCACAGGGACCACATCCTCACCACCTCCAGAAAGATTATGAAGATTTGATCTTCTTAAAAATTTTAAGAAGTCTGACCTTCCTCTCACCTTGCCAGGAACTCCTTCAATCCCACTTCCCAGATTCACTGAGCCAGTTGAGAGAGGAGAACCATCCTCCTCTTCAGACAGGAGGTCATGAGTTTCCCTGGATTTAATCAAAAGCTAGTTATTTAGTTATTTTTACTACTCTGGACTGAGACTTCATGCCAGTGCCATTTACAAGTAAGTTCTCTCAGTGCAATACCAAGCCCCAAAGTACCCAGTAGGGCAGCAGCTAGAGAAGGATTGGGGCAGAACAGGGCCATGAGTCTGCGACTGTGGGGTCAACGTTTACCCTGTAGGACCGGAGTGTGATTCCTCCAGTTAGCTGGTGTGCTTCTCCAACCAACACCAGCACCAACTCTCCCTGGATGTGCCTCTTCCCCAGAAAGGGATACATTCAAGGGCAAAGGCAGGTGGTACAGACTCTAAGGGCATGTCATGAGATACCATGATCCATAAAACCCCAGGCCACTTACCGATTTTTGCCAAGCTTGCCACGAGAATCCAAAGCGCGATGATGTATGGATCCTGGACGTGGTGCCATTTGAAGGTAATCACCTGGAAGGTCCCATCTGCGCTCGGTTCTTCCTCAGCAGCCCTCGCCCCTCGCAGGCTGGTCAGTGCCAGCACCAGCAGCGGCTTCCAGCCTGGTCTCAGAACCCAGTGCCACATCGCGGCTGCTCAGCTCTGGGAGCCAACAGGCATACCGTGGTGAGTTCCTGCTGCGTTCTCTGCCGCAGCGCTCTGCGCCGATCCGGGAGCTGGCAACAGTCAGGTCCCCCGGCCCGGTCCGGCCGGGTGGCCTTTAATCCCGCTGCCCCCCTCCCGCGCCAGGGCGGGGCTTTCCCGCCCCCGCTGCGCACACGTGAACGCAAACAGTTCAGCGTTAGAGGCACTCGCGCCAGCCTGCTCACACCCACCGAGTTGGTTGAGCCCCTGCCTGGAAGTGTGGGCTCTCCGGGTGCTGTGGACTCCTGAGCTAGCAACCAGGACCAGTGGATTTCGATGTCCTCGAGGTCGCTCGCCCCCAAGGTCGAGCGGTACCCAGCCCACTGACTCTACCTGATAAATGGGACCTGCTTCTCCTACATTGGCTCCCTCAGCAGCCGGATGGTTTCGCTAGTTTCGCTGTTCGCTGCATCCTGTTATATACACACAGCAAGGCCCCTCTTCATTGAGAACCTGGAGTCTGTGGGTATCACACTTTGTCATCTAAGTAAACTTGAAGCAGTATAGAAAGACAGAGAAAATGAAGTGGACATGGGACAGGAAAGGGGCTTCTCATTCCAGAGTATCCTCAAGCCTCTGGCGAAGTGAAAGTCAAGAATTCCATCACAATTAAAAATTGCTGTGAACTTTGCATAAACAGACAATATTCCTTTTATAGGGATTTTTTTTTTAAAAAAATGGTAAAATGGCAGTGAACCATGTTTAATGTCCAAGCATATATGACTTTAATCCCTTTCCCAGATATAAGCCTGCAATTTTCTGGAAATCTCACAAATAAGATTGTAGACTTTGTTTATAGAAAAAGAAGAAGAAAAATAGTCATAGTGTGGTGCTGCATGGCTGTGATATCAGCATTGGGAGGTGAACGAGGAGTCCAAAGTAAGCCTTGGCTGTGTAACAAAGTTGAGCCAGTTTGGGATACACGAGACCCTGACTGGAAGAGACACAACAAAAAGCCGTGTTTTAACCCCCTTGCACAATCCTAATCACCTGTAACCCTACTCAGTGCACCTTAGAGCCCACCCACAATCTCATTTAGGAAAAAAAATTCATAGCAACCCTTAAAATATAACTTCAGAAGTCACCACCAAAATTATATACGTGGCTACTATCAAGACACTCTAAAAGTGACTCCTGAGAACCCCATACCCATACACTTATATTGTCCTTTGTACATATGCTGTCTGTTTCCCTGAATTCCTTTTTCTGTTAACCCCTAGGCCTAAATCTGTTACAATCTTTTAATAAACTACAGCTTTGCTTCACACGGACTTTCTCTAAAATTCTTTCTGTCACAATCAAGAAGCCCAACTTCACCTGAGTGGAGTTCTCAAGCTACAGATGCTGTGCCTCCGGCCCTTGTTGCCAGCCAACTTACACTCTGTAACACAATGCAGTGCTTATCAGCTCCTAAGTCCTGTGTATTGTGGCCTGAGAGTCTGCTCTCCATGACAGCAATCCTTACCTGTGGCCTGTGACCACAGAGCACACTCCCGTTGTCCCCTCTGTCCTTTCTGTCCATGGGCGTTAGAATCCCTCCTTAGTCAGGGTTGCAATCTAGGTGCTTACTTGTGTATCTTAGCTCCCTGTGAGAGCTGACTTTCCAAACCCCTTCTCCCCTCCCAAGCCTACCCTTCAACCATAGACCCTGGCAGCTCCTTTTCCAACCACACTCAATCCTTGGAAACCCTTGGCTAGACACCCTTCAGGACCTTCAGACATATTCTAGGACTTTCTATTGGGGTACCCAACCCAGAGGACAGGTCCAGTTCTCCCTGGATTCAGTCCACCCTCAGACCATAGTCCCTTGCTGATGCCCCCCTACTTGCCCAGGTAGGCAACACCCTTCTCTGAGGCTCCAGACATCCCTCCTCATGTTCACTACCTGGACTCCCTGAGGTCTTGCTCTAGTATCTAGTGTTTTGATACTGGGCTCCTGACTCCTTGCCAGCTCTGCTCCTCAGCTTAGCTCAGTCATCAGCTGCTGGACTGTCTATCCATGGACTGTCTGTCCTCTCTGTAGAATGTCTACTTCATAAGTGAGGGGCTGCAGCAGTGGCAAGGCTGATCCCCAGGACTTGGAATAGTGTCTGGTCTACAGTACCATGTATGAAATACTGAGTAGGTGAATGGGAGACTGACTAGACAGTGATTGGTGGTTGGACCCAGGACAGGCAGGGCTACCTTTTAGCATCTAAAGCATACAGATCAGGGCTTCTAGGAGGGAAGTACTGGGCTGAGTGGCTTTAGTTTTTGTCTCCCTGTTTTATGCTGATGGGTGTTGGCTTGAACGATGGTAGGGTTAAGTGGTAGGTGATGAGTGTTGGGGCAGAGGATGGGTGGTTGGACTGAGCCAATCACAGGGCCTGGTATAGAATGGGGCATCACAACTCTGTAATTGGCCACCAGGTTTGCTTACTTGGGTATCTTGTATGGTGAGTTTCTGGAATTGCTCCTGTGGTCAAACTGAACCTGCTGTTCCTAGTCACATTCTCAGCCTCCTGTCCCAGAGGAAAGCTAGAAGAATGAGAACAGTCTTATTCACAGTTCAGATGTTCCTGGATAAAGCCTAAGGTGAAGCATACTTTCGAAATGCTCTCCTTGTATTACACAGGAAAGTCAGATCCCATGACAATAGTGTGTCCATGATGTCAAATGGCCCTCCAAGGATTTTATCTGTTCCTGCCTAACCTGAGAGCCTGCAGCCAAGAGCCCACACAATTCAAACAGAAGCTGAACAGCATTACAATGCACATATGGGAACTCAAGATGAACATTGGTTCCATCCCTGACCATTAGTGTGAGGTACCACTTACACTACAAGCCGTCTAAGAGAAGGGAAAGTGTGTCTAATGGAGGCAGAGAAAGCAAGGAGCCCCTGCAATGTCACAGAGAAGAGCAAGGCACCCTCATAACCCACTACCCATTGCTCAGGTGAGAGCTTGGCTATGTGGCAGGGCTTGTGGGCACTTGGAAACAAATGGACATATGCCTCAGGCTTGCTAGAAGGCTCCAGTAATTAGTGTTCCCACACTCCGGTGACTGAGAAAGAGTTATGGACAACAGCCATGGTAAAAAACTGTCATGATAGGTATGTGATATTGCATCTCATCAGTGGACTGGGGCCAGGATGCAGGCAGCTCTCATGGCCTGCTTTTATTCTGCAAGGCTGTGGCCTTAGAAAGCCTAAGCCATCCCACAGGCACCCATCCACATTTGGTAAACCGTATGAACAGTGACGCCTGTGGTGATTTGATAGCTGCTGACTACCTCCTCCTGAGCTCAGGCTGGCATGTGTAGCCTTCTTGAGGCCTAGACCTTCTGGAGCTCTTGGGCGTTTTCTTGTACACACCTGGAGGGCCCATGATTAAACTGGAGCTCAGAGATATTGAGAAGCAGTCCAAGAAAACTAATAAACCCACAAGCCCCTGAGCTTCAAAATTAAGGAAATGAAAGTGCACAACATCTCGTTTGACATATTAACTTCTGATTATGAAGTTCATTTGCATGGTTTGTGAAAACTTGTGTATAAAGTGGCTAATGGTTGCAAATCTACTTGTTTGTTGACAATACATGAAAGACAAAAACGTTAATTTTCAGCATAAATTCAAGAGGTTTGAGAACCTTATACACACATTGCCTACAGATTACCACCTTGGGTGTAGAAGAAGCTTGGAGGAAGAAGGGTTCGTTAGAGAGCTGCCCTTGCCTCCCATCTTGTGCTGTGTATTGAAGGTGCCCACGGGTGCAGGCACTTAGAGTTAGAAGAGGTCCACCTGGGAGCTCTTCCAGGAACCAAAACCCAAATCACCACTCAAGGCAGAGTTATTGTTACTTTTTTTAATTTTTTTTTTTTTTTGGTTGCTAACATACAATTGCAAATTGCATTTCTCAAAAACAAATGAGCATCATGCTTTTGAGTCTGCCTATTGGTGCCTTTAACATTCCCTGTTCAAGCCCGGGCCTTTGCCCAGTCTGGAACTTGCAGGAGAGTCACTCCGAACACTTGACCTGTATTCTTCTCCAGCCTGTGTTATATAGGCCTGGGATAGTCAGGTTGCTGTCACAGCGGTGTGTGCTGTGGCTCTGGATCCTTGGAAACCTTGGAGCTGATAAGGCTAGGCACATCAGAGGCTAACCCAGCAACAGAGCCACTACAGGGTAACAGGGTGTTTGCTGTGTTGCCAATCCCAGATGGCTCTCAGTGGGTGGGAGCTGAGGCTAGAGGCTGCTCTGTCTCTACTGCATTGCATTCCAAAGTAAGGGTTAGAGCCAGTAGGCTGCCAGGTCTCAGGACCAGGACTTGTACAGCTCCTAGCCCTGCGCTGCTCTTCCTGTCACCAATAATCTCCCAGTTGTCACCTGTCACCCACCCAATAATCTCCCAGTTGTCACCTGTCACCCACCTACGCCCACTCCATGAGGCTTCATGTTTCCTGAGAAGTCTCCTGGTTCTTGATCATCTTCACGGGGTTTTCAGCTCTCTTCCTTGCTAGATCTGATTCCTACATTTAGTGCCCCAGTTCAAGGGCCATCATGATGTACCCCTCTTTTTCGTGGCCCCTGGGCCGGGTCCCCACCTGTATGGTCCCCTATTGGGAGAGAACTCCACAAATCGTGCACAAGCCCTGTAGTGCAGCCAAGACTCTGACAGCCTTATAGAAAAAGATCACATGGGCCTGGGACCCGTATTTCCCAACCTGACCCCAGGTAGCAGGGTGCCCGACTGTCCCCAGGCTAACCACTATGGGAAAGAACAAGGCCTAAAACATTCTGTAGACTGAACTGTGACACAAAGTCACCAAACTGCATTCAGCTGATGAAAAACTCAACAAGCTGTGGCCAAGCTGGGCAGGCAGGCAGGACAGCTTGCAAACTGTAAAAAAATAATAATAATTCCTCCAACCTGACAGCTGGAAGACGAACTTCCTCCGAGCAGCAGAGGAAGCATGAGAACAGGGGACATCGTAGGTACCTCCAGCACTCTACGCATCCATGTGTCTCAGTTGAACCTCCTGTTATGAAAGCTGCACTTGGAGAATAAGGAAGGGAATAGACCAAATTCCAAAGAACTCACAGGCAAATCACCATCATGCAGGCACAACTTGCACCACATGGGGACCCAGTACACTATAGTGTGTCATCGTTTATATGGCCTGATGACTTCACCTTAGGCTTAGTTGGTATGGACACACTGTGATGTTTGCAGAAAGCCAAATTCCACCTTCAGCCGTGCAGGTTGGCTCTCCTCTCTGCACTGATGTGCTCTAGGTCTTGTTCACACAAATATTGGTGGTAATTTATGTCCCCCAAGTCACACACTTGGGTGATCATCCAGACATTCTCCTCTGACTCCCTTCGGAACCCTCAGGATCTTTGGAGTGTGTTCAACCAGATTCAGGCCAATCTTGCATGCTGAGCTTGTGCATCTGCCTCATTACAGAAACTGTGATCTTGATTTTTTTCTAATGTTTTCCTGTAGGTGGGGGGGGGTGGGTGTCATGAATCACACTGAAGACAAGACAGCTCTTTTACCTGTGGGCTTGGCTGACACACCAGAACCATCTCATGGTCTTCAAGGCCCCCACAAACACTCATAATCAAGTGTATCTGGTAGGAGCAGACTGAAAACAAGCAGCCCTGGTGTCTCAGGGGAGGGGTATCACGAAAATGTCCCACCTCTCTGCATTTCCTATTCCACTCTGTAAAATGAGGAGTCCTTGACATCTTCATGAGGTTTACTATTGGATACCAGCCTGTGTGTGGTGTTGTCTGCTTAGCCTACTGTCTCGGTTGCTCTCAGACAGCCTACCGGTTTTAGAGGCCCAGCACTTGGTCACTAGTACAAGCCAAGCCTCTCCGCTCTGGATGGGTTCTGTTAATGGAGCATCCATTCAACCAATCTTAATTTAATTATTTTGTGCAATTCTAACCCTCCTGGAGAAAATCTGAGACCTTGGCTACTCTTTGGACTTCCATTTTTGAATCAGAAAGGGAGGGCAGTCCCCAGGTACTCCTGAACAGTAGCCTAACATAAGAGTAGAGTGCTCTGGACCTGGCTGATCTCAGATCCCACCTGTCTGAGACAAGATCTGATTTTATCCACCAGCTTTAGTTGCTCCATGTGTCTGTGTTTCACCTGCATGAGCAGCAACAAGTAAACCAAGAGGCCTTCTCTGCATTTGTATTGTACCCCTTGAAGATGCCTGACAACATAGTCATGACCCATAGCAGGCAGTGCCAATCCAACTCCTGTACT